GAAAATCTTAAAAATCCACAACTCGCAATCCCCCGCAATTTACGCAATTCGCAATTGCATCCAGCACTGATTAGAATTGTTTAAATGACAATAAAATAAATTTTTATACGGGTTTTTCTCATAAAAAGGTGCTAAGAAATTATAATCGCACTTCGGATTTTCGTGTTTCTAGCATTAAGAAAAATTTTTTAAATTAAATTTACATTAAATTTAGCATTAATTGGAGTACTCATTTTATCCATAAAACAATATTCTTCAAATTCTTCCTCCTCATAAAAACAATTATCAAAAAAATCATAAATAGCATAATTATCAATATATTCATATGAAAGCATTGCAAAATCTATAAAAAATTCTTCTTCCTCCTCATCGGTTTTTTTAATTTTTAATGAATTTTTTAAAATTTCTCTCCTTTTATTTAAAAATATTTTTTGTCCCCTTTTATTCAAAATATTTTTTGATTCAATAAAATTAATATTTAAATTAATAAATGTAAAAATAGTTAAAAATAAAATTATTTGAAATTTATTAAACATTTTTTTGATTTAAATTAATTTTTTTGATAATTTAAAAATATTTTTTAATAAATTATTTTATTTATATTTTATATTTAAGACAAAATAGTAAGGAAATTCCGGAAAGAAAATGCTGATAAAATAATTGAAGACGTTATCTTTAAATGATTTCATTTTTAGGTTACATAACACAAATTTAATATTTTAATGTAATTTTTATTTATTTATTTTGAATTTTAAAAGTTTTTATAGTAGGGATCAGTGATGTATTTTGTGCATTTGTTGGCTCCAGCTCCGATGTTTGCAAAATCTTAGCTAGCTCCTAAGCCCGGCTCCGGAGCTAGCTCCCGGAGCTATACACAGCACTAGTAGGGATCAAAGATGGGTGAAAATACTATTTCGCTTTCAACGAAAAATAAAAAAATTTAATTTTTACAAAATGAAAGAAACGAAAAATATAAACTAGTAAATTTTATTGCAAGAACTGAAGTTTGTCGAGATAGGAATGCATCGAATATTTGATCAAATTCAAAATTTGCCTCCGATTCCTTTGATATCCTCACTGATCTCTTTAAATCCACTGATATTCCCGATTTATGAGTTAAGAAAGATATCTGATGATCTGGAGGGATTAAGTCCACAAAATTCCATCTTTAGGGGTGTAATTTTAAAACCGAAACCGAGAGGCATGGGTAACTGGTTTTCGGTTATCCCCAGTTTTGGTTCGGTGCTATTGTCGACTTGTCAAACTTGTATATTAAAATTTAAATACATATTTTACTAAGATAATTTTTCCCTAATTATTTAATTCAAAAATATAAAAATAAAAATCAATTAAAATAAAACCTTTAATTCATTTTCAAAATTAGAAAAATTGTTTACCAATTTTCTATTATATTTTAATTTTGTATTTTAATTTTGTATTTTAATTTTCATATTTTTATTTTTTTATTTAATCCCGCAAACAATTGGATAAATAAAAAATAATATTTATTTTATTTAAAAATAATATTCTCTTTGAAGTTTTTTGAGGTTTATGATTAAAAAGCAAAATTATATTTAGGGATAATTCTCTAAATTGACAATTTACATAAAAGGAAAATCACGTGAATTTTTCCTCTCCTTTCAAATGAAGATCCTCAATCCTCTCCTGAAAATCCTTAAAAAACAAAAAAATGAAAGGAGAAAATAAAAACAATAAAATTATTCCTGATCTTTAAGGTAAAAATGTATTTAGCACAAAAATTGGAAAAAAGCAACAAATTTTTATTCGACCGCAGCTATTAAGAAATACAAGAGAAAGGCATTCTCCAATCTTGAAGGGTTTTGAAGGACTTCGTGAATACGAGTAGAATAAATAAAATTGAAGTTCTGAAATATCGAAACTGAGGGCAGGCGAATTATTGAATGAATTAGGTAGTTATTAATTATCCTAATTGCTATAAGACGAGGAATTCATCTTGCAGGAATTTAAGATTTTTCAAAATACTAGGTAGAATATTAATATTTCTGCAAATTACCCTTTCCGTAAATTGTTATCTTCTCTAATTTATTTTTATTCTATTTTGCCATAAAACTTTGTTTTTAATAAAATATTTTATAAAAATATTTATCCTTTTTGGAACCGAACTTTGAAAATAAAAATAAAAAAAACAAAATACAAATTACAAAAAGGGTCTATTTAAATAAATTAAAAACAGCCTTAATTAACCAGAAAATAAAATACTAAAAATTATTCCTCAAAAACTCCCAAAAAGGTTAGCCAATATTAATTTCTTAGAAATTTTCTTTGCTTCCATAAATTAAAAAAAAATTTTTAAAGTGAGGGAATGGAGATTAAGTATAGTTCTTATTTTTAAAAATATTTGTTAGATTGAAGCGACATGCTTGCTAGTTTTGTGAAGGAAATCACTAATATTTATCAATCAAAATATTGTAGGGAAGAGAAAGATCCAGCTAGCTAGCATTTAAAACGCTCACTAGGCGGGGGCTATTTAAAGAAAAGGTGAAAGCAATGTCCCTGTAGCTCAGATGGTAGAGCACCTGTACGTGGTGAGCAAAAGCGCCTAGCAATAACTGCCAGGAGGTCGCAGGATTGAAGTCTGCCCGGGATTAAACTTTTACCTCGTTCCTACTATATCTTGATTTTTTTAATTTATAAATCTAGGACAACTAAGAAATCTAAAATCTAGGTGGAAATACATATAAGTATACCGAAAACATCTTGTAAGTTTATGTTTAAACAAGCAGGAAAGCTTTGTCTGGTTTTATCACCGGGCAACTGTAAGTGAAGCTTTAATAAAAAAATTTTAAGATACGAAAATCATCGACCCAGTAGCTTGAGTGATCGAAGCGCTAGGTTGCCATTAAATTTATGGACTTTTGCTTGAATCTTGTATAACAAGTATCAAACCGGATTATAATTTTAAGGAAGCAAGAAATACTCCGCGGAATAAATATTGGCTAACCACTCAAATTTATTTAATTATTCTTCAACCAAAAAATGTTTACTAATTCAATTAAAAATTTAATTATTTATTTAATGCCTTTAATGGTTACTTTAATGCTTTTGTCTGTCTCATTTGTGGATGCAGGCAAAAAACAGCCTAGTGGGCCAAATCCTGGAGGAAATAATTGAAGAAAAATGATTGATGAAAAACGTTTAAATTAAATGATAAATGGGAAATAAAATTAAATTAAGCTAATTTTGATGGTTTACTTTGTTAATTTCAACATAAAATTAATTCAATTTTACTGAATAAAATTTATCTGGGAATATTTGTGTGATATTTTAAATATATTATGTGAAGTCTAATAAATAATAAATTTATTAGAAATGGATAAAACTCAGAGTAAGAATCAGAATTAACGAACCCTTAAACATTATTAATTTACAAAAAAAAAGTTAAAAATTCTCTTTGTAAGAAAAATTAAAATTTCAACTAGACATATGTACTTGGGTTAATTTTTAAATAACTCAGAAAATAACTAAGACATTAATTTTTCAAGAGCTTCTTAAAAAAGATATTGCTTAAAAATAAAAAAATATACTTAATCGAGGTAAAAGGCCGAACACTGAAAAACTTTTCTCCGTTTTTTAAAATGCGGCAGATCCAATCATTTGTAAATAACCTGAAATTCAAATTCTTTCTTGTTTTGCGAGATTCGGTTTAATGTGGAAAAACTTCGAGAAAAATCTTACTGCAATTCAATTGTTATTTAAAAAATTTTTCTATAGTGAAATTAACCCTAAAGTATTTCAATCAGTCAGAATTTAGACAAAATCTATTTATTTTCAAAAAAATAGTGAAGCATTGACAAATAATTTCGATTTAATTTACATCGAAAACATAATTTAAATTGAATTTTTAACAAAATAATTTTTAAAAAATATCCTCCTTTCCCAAAATTAAATTGTTTTGTTTAATATTCCTCCAAAAAGTTTAAATTTGGCCCAAAACTCTTAATATCATCAAACGCGCCTTTAACAAACGTAAGTACATCAAAATCTTAATTTAAAAATTAATTTATAATTAAATTAGATACTGATTTAGTGTTAGAATAAATGAACTAGGAGCCCCCACCCCAGTAAAATCAAATATATTGCCCTCCCTCAAATAGTCGAAACAAGAATTATTTTCCCTCGATAACTTCTTTCACTTCAATCTTTTCAAGTTTAGGAGGTAGGGGTTTGATCGCTTAAGTGTAGCCCATTTAATGCTCTATCTAATAGTACCAAGAACACTAAAAATTATCCGTACCTTCAAAAGCTATAGGGCTTGGGACTGAACTGACTCGGGACTGAAACGAGATGTACCCATATATCTTTCAGTTAAAAATTATTGGGTAATTTGTTCAAGTTAACTTTTGGTGGTTTCGAACACAATTTTCCACAGTTGTGAATTGCGGTCTCAGAATTGATTTATTTTCCATGATTCGACTTCTATAAACTGTAATACTTTATCAAATAAACAAAATTTCTCAATTTTTCCAAATAAACATATAGAGGATATCCTTTCTTTCCATCTAGCTATTAATAAGCATCAATTTATAAACAAGAGGGGGAAATACATATAGCTTTTCAATCTTCCCAAAACACCTGACTTTAATCTTTACCTTCTTCTGATCTTTCTTGAAAGACCGGAAAAGTCGATTGAAGGAAAAGAAAATGTCAAAAGAGATTTTATATTATTGCTAAAGGGAAGCAAGTCTTTTTGTAAAAATCTCTGCCAGCCTTTCAAATTGAACAAATGGCCAAAATCGTTTATTGTTTTAAAAGAAAAAATTAAAACATAAAAATATATTTTTACCAACAAATTTTATCCCTCCCTCTTTGTCCTTAAAAATTGAAAAATCATCATTCTAAAATTTAATAAATTGACACAAACACGAAAGGGGAGATGTTTAAGAGTTTTTTGTTTGTTTGTTTTTAATTTTAATTTGTTTGTTTTTCTAATAGTTAAACCCGGAAATAAACTATTTTGATATTTTCGTGTTAAGAAATTAAAAAAAACAATGAGCCGATCACCAATGAATTTTCAAAGGTATGTAAATAAACTATAAAAATTCTTTGAACACATTTCGATCGCTACTATGTATACTTTAATTTTGGGATATAATTGAAGGGTTGGGATATTAAAGTACATGGACTTGAGATATATGGACTTAAGATAACAGATAACTAGTACACCCCAAGGTACAGCGAGCCCACGGTACCGTAGACAAAGGAGAGATTCTTAATAAACTTATAAAAATTAATTTTTAAAACAAATTTCCAGTTTGGATCAATCCGAATCTTCATTTCCACAAATATCAACAACTACACGTTCTCATCTATTGGGCAGTCCGTGTCCAGCAATAATTTCCTGGCCAGCTCCACCCCCCAAAATTGAATTAAAGCCAACAGCTATAGCAGCACCTTTATCAGCTTCTTCTGCCCTTTCTGCTTCTTCTCCAAGTACTTCCCTTCGTTCAGCTCCAACCATCGTCCCAATATCACAATCTACATTAACTCACAGTCCTATACCTTTAATGGGAACAGCTTCTCCACATTCTTTAACTCCTCTTCCACGTTTAGAATTGCCTCAATCTGATGGACAAGAATGTGGTAGCAGTACTAACCTGCTAACGATGCTTAAAGCAATCGCCAATGGGCTTGCACCGCCTAGTGGAGGTTAAAATTTATGAAAATCAAAATAGTCTAGAACCAGTAATATGCCATTTCCGGTTTTACTTTTTTTGTTACATATTTCTTTTTTAGTCTATTGCTTTTTAAGATTTAAGACCCTAGTACATATTAGGATTATTTATACGATCACCATGATCACTTAATAAAGTAAGATTGCACTCTTATCCTAAAAATTAATATTCAAAATTCTCTGATAAATCCACAGACCTAATATAACAATTTTCATTTTCTATAGCATGCAGCCCAGGAAGCAGCGTCAATTGCTGGGGACGCGAAACAGAATTGCGACAAAAAATTCAGGCATTAGAAGAAATTGTTGCGGACTATGAAAGACAAAAATTTAATGTTCTCGGCACTTTCTCCGATTTTCATGAACGTGTAGCGGAAAGAGAGAGACGTTTAGAAGCAGAATATTCAACAAGAATACTCTCTTTAAGCGAGGAAGTTTTGGGTGCCAAAAAAGATTTTGAGGAAAGAATGAAAAATTTTCATTTACTTCAAGTAAATTAATTAATAAAAGCATAAGAAATAATTTTTTAATTAATTAAAAGGAACAATTTGAACGAGAAAAAGAACAAGCTTTGGAAAGATTAAGACAGGATCATCAACGGGAAATGCAGGCACTAGAGCGTTATATTGTTTCTAAGGTAGAGCAACGATTTTTAGTCTAAATTGCTCAAATAAGAGAATTAGCGTAGTTGGTAAGGTTCTAGTACATTTTGAGCGAGCTTTGTGCGAATTACTCAATTCTCAAAATTACATAGTTAAGTGATACCAATAACTCTTTATTCTCTATAAATCAATCTCTCAACTAATTATCTCAAAAAATTTCTTTTCAGGAGCAACGCTTTTCAGAGTCTAAATTGCTCAATTTGGAACAAAAGTTGGGCTTAATTTCTTTAAATTTAAAAATTAATATTTCTTAAGATATATTTTGGAAATACAAAAATTGGAAGAAGAACGTAAAAATTTAAAAACAGAAAGAGAAAGGCTTAATGAAGGATTTGAAGTTCGTTTTAGACGAGCTGAAAGCCTTTTTGAATCAGAGTTGACCGCAGCAAAAATGTTATATACGAGGGAATTGCAAGCATTGAGAGAACATGAAGAGGCCCTTAAAGACGAATTAGCTGCTAGACAGGAAGAATTTCAGGATAAATTAATTGAATTACAACATTATTCGAAACAAGCTAAAGAAGAGGTTGTTAATTGTAGAAAAGAGGTTGTACAGCTTGAAGAGAAATTGAAAGAAAAGGCTGCTGAAATTCAGCGGTTGGCTAGAGAGGTAAATTGGGTGGATAATAGGCTAGTAAGATAAGGTAAAATCAAACCAAAATTAAACCCAAATACTAGAGATCGGTCTGGATCTGGATCCAGACTGGATTTTTCCTCGATCAGTTTCCAGATCCAGGCATTTTTTGATCGTTCTGGACTTTTTCTGGATCCAGATTAAGAATCCTGTCCAGGTTGCTAACCTAAATCCAGATCCAGAATTTTTGAGAATACGGATCTCTACTAAATACTCTATTTTCTACATAAATAAGCTCTATTATCGAAATCTATCTGATAAAATTCAATCTGGCTTACTATTGAAAAATTAAAGAAAGTGTGAATAACATGGAAATAGAAACTGGAATCAGATCGAGATTTTAGTATATTCATCTTATAACTTTTAAAACCAAATTTAAGCTCGCTGCCGCCCGTCGTCAAACAGAAGATTCCTTCCGTCGCCTAAGCAAAGCTCGTTCAGAAGCTGAACAAAACCAGAGTTTTTTGGAAGAACAAAGAGAACAATTAGAACAAAGAAATGCTTTATTAAAAAATGCGGAAGAGTTGAGAGCTAAATTAGAACAAACAATTGGGGAATTAAGAAAAGAAGTTATTGCATTAAGTAATCGAGTAGATTTACTTGAAATTGAGAGAGATGGGTTAAGAGCACAAGCAGAAAGTCAGGTAAAAAATTTTTTTAATTAATTAATGCTATTTTAAAATTTAGACAGAGCTACACGAATCCCAATTAACTGCATTGGAAGCGGTGAGGAAATTAATTTTTTATGATTATTGTATTATTGAAGGGGAATTTTTTCATTAAATTTCATTAATACCAAAACAGTTGTGGTCATCTTAAAATTTTGCTGTTAATAATAAAAATAACACTGGGATACTAGAGAAATATTGAAATGGAAATTTGGATCTGTATTGTAAAAGCAGTAAACTTTAACCGACTTTACTGAGACCATCTAACGAGAGCTATATTAATAGGAAATTAATATTGATTAGAGTTTCACCGGAAGTTCCGGTTCCGAAAAGTTCCGGTGTTTTTTGGTTCTGGTTCCGGGAACCGGAACTCAAATTGGATCCGGTTCTGGTCGAAATATTGGTTCCGGTGAAACCTAATATTGATACGTAAAAGCTTCTTACTTCTAACCTTAATTTCTAAATATTCCACAATAGATGTTAGAATCAGTTACAAGAGAAAAAGAAGAATGTGCCGAACGGTGTGAAGAAACACTCCAAAAGGAAAGAGCTGAAGCAGAAGAAAGAGAATCTACACTTAGAGGAGAGTTTTCAACAAAATTGAGTGAATTAGAAGAACAATATAATGGATTGAGGGAACATGTAGAAAGGGAAGAAGATGGAGAATTTGGGCCTGAAAATGAGGTAGAAAATTTTAGGAAAATAAATTTAAATAAAAATATTTTAAGAAATTATGGGAAGAAGTTGAATTATTGAGAGCAGAGAAGACTGATTTGGAGGAGAAAATTGAAAAACAACAAATGGATGTATGTATTGAGTTAAAAAATAAAATTTCTACGACTTATAGAGAATTTTGAGAGGTTTTGAGAATAAAATTAGCTCGGGACCAATGTTTGAAGCTCGTACCAAAATTTGTACTTGTTTACGAGTACGAGAAAAAACATGGCCCGTACGAAAAAAATTTTAAGAATGCTTCAAAATTTTAAGAATGCTCGTACTATACCATTCTATTTTTGGTAGAGTTGGGCGGGATCGGGATCCCGGTCGGGATCGGGCGGGATTATCCCGGTTTTTTTGAATCCCGATCCCGATTTTTCTGATCCCGAACCCGAAAGACAAATCCCGATCCCGGTTTTGGCCGATCCCGATCCCGAGCCGGGATCGGGATCGGGATTAGCAATCGGATCCCGATGAAATCGGGATTTTATAAATTAATGAAAATATATATTAATGAGCTGAAAAGAAAGCAATTTGGCTTCTACGCCATCCAAAATTTTCAAAATTTTCGCCTGCGGCGCTAAAAATGAAGATTTTGGCTTGAGAATCTTCGAAATTTTTCAAAATTTTTGCCTCCGGCGGTGAATAAGAAGAGACTCATTTATAAAACTATCGACGGAATGGATTTGAACGGATATAATGGATATCCTAGATGTCCATCTAGATCCCAATATCTCATTAATCAACGATATCCCTCTTAATCCATCAGAATCACCTTATCGTTAATACTTTATCCCTCCTCCTTAATCCCTGATACGCCAAGAACAAATGCGCGCTGGGACTTAAAATCAATATTTCAGCACAGCAGATGAAAATTATGGAATTATATTGAGGTATATGCAATGTAAATAAAAAATTTAAATTTAAAAAATTTTTTTAACTAAATCCCGATCCCGATTTTTCAATCCCGATCCCGAGTCGGGATCGGGACCGGGATCGGGATCATTATTCCGAATCCCGATCCCGATTTCGTCCAATCCCGATCCCGCAGTCGGGATCGGGACCGGGATCGGGATCATCATTCCAAAATCCCGATCCCGATTTTACGTCGGGATCCCGATCCCGCCCAACTCTAATTTTTGGGACGTTACTTTGTATAAGCTACGAGTCTAAGATCTCAAAGCAAGGGTTGTCGGTTTCTGGAAATTCTTTTGATATCCGAAACCGAAACGAAGAACCGATCCTCGGTTCTTCGGTCGGTCCAGAACCGAAAATCCTACTCAAAGCACTTTTCTAATCTCAACGATTTAACAAACCTCCCAGTTTATCCTCCCTCATCCCCCTTTTAGACACGTTAAGGTATTCGTTTTAATTAAATAAAATAAAAAATTGAAGAATTTATTTTGAAAATTAAAATTATTTCAGAATAAGGAATTATCACGAGTAATTAATTCAATTGAAGGCAAATTAAAAGTAGAAAATGAAGAGGAAGAAGAAGCGGAGGAAGAGATTGAAATGGATAAATTATTAGAGAAGGTAAAAAACCTTTGAAAATATTTGAAATTTTTTTCTCAAGTTATACGACTTGGAACGAAGTGTTGAGTGGATAGTAAAGGAAAAGGAACGTGCCGAAGCAAGACTAGAACAATTACAAGAGGGAGATGTAAATGCTGGTTGGAAACGTGCAGATGAATTAAATAAGGAATTGGAGGAAGAAAAAAGTTTTTTTTGAAAAATTTTTTCGAAAAAAATTTTTTAAGAAAAATTGGCGAAAGTAGAAAAACGACTTGCAATTGAATTGGATTCGAAAAGTGAAGTTGAGAGGGTTGATCTCCTTGAAAAAGAATTAGCTAATGTAAAGGAACAATTAGAGGAAGAACGTGAAAAGTCAGAAAGGGAATTGAGGTGTTTAAAATTTAAATAATTATTGGATTACGTAATTACTCGAGTAATAATAATTATTGCTCTTGCCCCTATCCTAACAAATAAGGGCATATGCGGGAGAGCAATCGCCCCAGGTATCTCAGTTAGTAGAGCTCCGTGTAAGGGTTTAGGTGCGGCAAAGCGAACACTTTCAGCAAGGTCGCAGGTTCATTCCTCTGCTATGCTCTTAATAGATAATCTATTGTTCTTAGTTCATCTTGGGAAAATTTTGACAAAAATAATTCTTAAATATTCAATTTTTAATTAATTTTTACAGACGTTTGGAATCTCAACACGCGTTGGCATTAGAGCTAAAAATTGGGGCATTAAATAGAGAACATGAACGTACTGTAGAATTTATACAACAAAGAGAGCAGGAATTGGCTAGAAAATTGGAATTAATAAATGATAATAATAAATCAGAAAAAATTTTGGAAGAACATGAAAGTCAAACAGAATTAAGTAATGAAAAAATTTTTGAAGAAGAGGAACAAAAAATGATAACAAATCAGGAGGTGTTGAATAGGGAGAAGGTAGGGTGGATCAGGCATGGTCACGGATACTGATCTTGGTATCCGTATCCGCATATTTACGGCGGATACAGGCGGATATCCGCAGGCATTTTGATATTATCAGTATCCATATCCGTATCCATGACCATGCCTGGGGTGGATAGATAAATTAAACTTGGAGACGGTTACTATGTACTTGGAGACGGGTAGGGAAAAAACGGGGAGGAAAAAGAATTTAGGGTTAAATGAACCCTAAATTTAAATATTAATGTCAGAGAGAAGGGATCCCTACTTCTGATATCTCAAATATCTCTGAAATATGCGTACGAGATATTAAAAATCATCTTTCATCCCGAACAGAGAACTCCAGCTATAAACTCCGAGAATTCGAGTTGATTTCTGCACCTTTATTCTTTTATTTTCCATAGGAACTTATTGAAGTAATAAAGCAATTGCAAGCTGAACTATCTGAGGCTTACAACAAACAAGCATGTAATTGTTGCTTCAACAAAAAGGAGCTGCGTTCGGTTTAGTTTATTTAAATTTTATATTCGAGAAATTGTTCGAATGGAAATATTAATGTCATAGACAGATTTTCGGAGACTCATGACCAAGGCGCAAAAAAGTCATGAGTCAAGACCGTTCAAAATACTATTAAGATTGTTCCCCAAGAGGAGGAAAAAATTTCCTTAAGGGCAGGGAACAAGGATAATCCAAACTAGAGAACCTAGCTAAAAATCTAAAAAAAAATTTTTTAAAGCAAAGTATAGCCAATACAAATGAACATTTGGCTTTTTGTCAAAAAGCAACAGGGACACGTTTAACAGTTGAAGAATTATCTCAAAGAAAGGATTGTTGTCAAAGACACGAACATTGGAGATGTTCTTCTTCAAATAGTGGAAGAGGGATTGCTGGGAGAATGGAAGCTGTTGCTCCACAAGAATTAACTCCAGAACATTCACAACATAGGTAATAAAATATATTTTTCAATCAAAATATAATTTCCTCCAAATTTGTCACAGACTTCATTCACCTATTGGAAATGTCCACCACCGCATTTCTCCCTCACATCAATTATTTTTCGGCAAAGGGTCATCTCCAAGTAGTGAAAAAGCAGAAAAACGACCAGCATGGAAATTTTAAACTTTAATTATAATTAGGAGTTACGCGGTATTGGGATTCTGATGCCTATTGGCATCTGGATTTGGGACTTGTAAAGGCAATCCTGAGATACCTGGAAGATTGAAAATTTGTTAGGGATTGAAGTTCAAATTTTATGTCTGAGGACCGGGAAATTTTTTTCAGCGAAACGACCAACTAGGATTTAACTAGGATAAAACGGTAACTAAGATTTAAATACCGCATAACTCCAACAATATCCATAATTATTAATTTCTTTCATTAAATTTAAATTTTCAATAATAATTACATTTGTAAGTAAATAAAAAGTTTAAAAAATTAATTAATCATTTAATTAATAACGCCCAAATTTTCTTGTGTTAATGCAAATCAACTCTACTAATAACGTAATTAATTATTAAAATCTATTATTACATCTTTCATTAAATTTAAATTTTTAATAACATTTAAATTTAAATAAATTTTTTAAAAATAATCATTTAATTAATTAATTAATCATTTAAGTAATAACATTCAAATTTTCCTGTGTCAGATTGTTGCTAGGTGATATTGAATTAGAATTCCACAAAATTTGGCTATGCCACTTAATAAATTTAAAAATAATTTGTCTATAATTTCTAACAGTTAAAAGAGTTACCTTAATTAAAATAAATTTTTAAAATTAATATTGGGCTCTTGTCCAGGTTATGCGATCCATAAATTTGTACAGTCCGAGCTTTGAGTTATTTATATAGGTACCTAATTTCGGTATTTCCCTCGGGCATTCTAATTTTCATTCTATTAGATTATCTAAAAATCCCCGACGTTGAATTCATTCTACTCCCTTCAATCCACAATACTTTTGATAACTCAAGTACCCTGATATCCTTGATATTATATATAAAAATTTATGCGAAAATTCTGAATTTCGGCGGGAGTTCTCATATATATACAGTAAATATTCTACTATGTATTGGATTTTCTTAGTGTTTCAGAGTTTGATGCTGTCCAAACTAAAATCATGAATAAATCTAAACCCAAACCCGAAAATCGAACTTTATATTTATACGGCAAAAACTGGACAAGGGCTTCGATATTTACCAAAGGATTTAAAATAAGAATCAAAGCATTAAATGATGGAGTTATTGTAAAAAGTAATTTTGTTGAAAATATTGAATTATTTAGAATTGATAAATTAACTATTATTTGAGAGAAAAATGGTAAAAGAGCCAAAAGTGCCTTAAATATAAATAAATTATGATTAATTATCATTGTCAATATTGTCATGTCTCTGATACAGTTGCTTGTGTGGATACCCAAATATCCACAGATACACGCGGATGCGAAAGATATTAAGATAAGAATCCGATAAGTCTTTTCTCTTACACATACTTTGCCCCTAACCAGGCTTCCTTATATGCCTTTATAAAAGGGAATAATTAGACTTATTGGGCGTTAAAAATAGAAATCCAAAGGAAAGTATTTGTTAAATATATTTGTTCAATTATTTAAAAAAATATCAATTTTTTACTTGTGACCATAAAACAATAGAAATCTGTTTATTAACTTTTCGCATAATTTCCAAATTTGGTCCAATATATTCACACCGCACAAAATATTGAATTCGAATTCCACAAATTATAATAATTGAGTATGTTATGAGTGTAAGAAATGTAGCATATTTTGAGCTGATGGACGATAAGTCGGTCGGCTATTTTTATGAAATTTGATAAAAATATGTATTTTATTCCGTAGGATCTCACGTTAATATTTCCCCTAAACTAGATAAACTTCAGTTTAAGATACGATTTTCAAGTTTTTAACTAAGTTAGATACAAAGGTAGTTCGAATTTCGATTCCGGATCAGAATATCCGAAGGCTCACATGATCCGCTAGCCACTGCGATACTTCAACCTTATGAATTTTTCAGCTCTGAGAACCTCAATTCATAATTTTTTCATGGTAAATGGGTAGCTCGCGTTTTTCAAACTCGGCATTACTCAAACTCGATTTTCCCCCAATTACTCGGTACTCGACATACTCTAGTTCTCATGCCAACAACAAAATTTTCCATTGTATAATTGTCAATTTCCAAAATCTGTGCCAATTCATAATTTGTTAAATGTTCATTTTCGGGTGTTGGGTTATTTGACAAAAATGATAAAGTAAAAAGCAGAATAATTGGAAGAAGAACAGAAATAATTATGGCCAAATAATGTTTCCGACGAATATTTACAGAACTTTAAATTATTAAATTTAGAATATCTACAGGGCATCTAAAACATCTACAGGTCTTCGCTCAATCCCTAGTATAGATCGAGATTTCTAAAAAGCCTGGACCTGTTCCTGGACTCTCGAGTTTGATTTATTGACATGGGCCGGATCCTGGGCCTGTAGTTCATGAAAAACCCAGGAAGGTTGTAAATGCTTGGGCCTGGACTCTGGGTACGGGAAAAACCCAGGCCTTGGTCCAGGTCCTCTCGATCTCTAATACTTAACCATGATGCAGACATTTAAATAACCATTGTCCTAATCTGGGTAAAAAATATAAATAATTACCGAACAACAGTCAAATAACGAAAAATAAATTGTGAACAAACATTTACTGATGTAAATCTTATCATAAAAGCATACAAAATAAAAGAAAGGAATTGCCAAGGATTAGGCAAATAATGAGTAATTCCATATTCCCATACTGTACCAATTCCATTATCAGAAACAAATACCTTTTTTTAATTAAAAATAATTTTTCAAAAAATTTCTCAAAAAACCGGCTGAACAATAACAAATAAAACAATCCCAATAATATCAACAATACAAGTCTGTAAAAGTATTTTGCTATAAACTTCCATTTCTTTCATTGTATAACGGATAATTAGGTAAATTAGGAGAAAATTGAAAAATAAACCGATTAAACCAACACAACTAATTATTATAGAATAAAGTTCTGGTAACATTTTTATTTTAGTATTCAGGTCTAAAAAAATTTTTTGAAGAATCATGTATGATTGTAGCAGACGGCATAAGAGTGGGTCTTGCAGGTTTCGACTTTCGTCTTCCACGCGGAAGACGAAAGTCGAGTTTTATATTCGTTAGTTAAAATTAATTTTGTTACACCTCTGCTAGGGCACGGAGATGGTGTGGGCCGGATTCTGTAATGGTGTGGGCCGGGATTTATGCCACTGGATCACTGGCACAAAAACAATGGATCCCTGGGCACAGCAACAATGGTTTTGGCCGGGATTTGTGCCATTGCATTCCAGGGCACAGCAACACTTAGATAAAACCAATTTTAGGCCGCAGCAGTATTGGGCCCCTTTACATTGAGCAAAAACAATGATTCAACTCTGCGAAGAGTTGTTTCCAGGATTTTGGGGCAAAGACATTTATCCAACTAACTCCCCAGATCTGAATACTATGGACACATAGTTTGGTAATTATTGGAGCAGAGACTTCCATGGATACGATTTATATCAAAAGATGTAAATAAGAGGGATTGCAACTGGTCTGGGACTCAATTACTGTGGTTGAGTGCGCGACCATATTGGGCAATTTCAGTAAGCGTTTAGACGCGTATATCTTGGCGGAGGGAAGACATCTTGGAAATTTGTTATAATTTTTCTTTTCCTTAGATATTAATGAACACTTTTTCATAGATTTTATAAAATTCAAGAAAATATTCAAAATAAATTTTATGCTTGACAAAAGTACGTGAACTTTTGCCGCACCCTGTATATATTGAATAATTAAAATATAAGTATAACCTTTTACTAAAACATAACCTTTTTTAAATAAAAGTTATTTTAATGTTTTTGGTTATATTGCATGTTAGTTGGCAACCTTATTATGTCTAAAGCAAACAAGATTGCGTGCAGCATTAATTACTTTATTAACTTTAAATATTGTTTATATTTATTTTATATAACAAATGCCAAAAGGTATTTTTAATTACAAAAAATAGGCTAGTTCTAAAACGGAAAATATCAAAATTAGCCAATTGACGAAAACTATTTCAGGGATGATTGACATTTTCAATTTAAAAAAAAACGAGGGTCAGTTTTAAAGGAATGATCTTACGTTTAAAAAACCGGAGTAATATAAATAGGGATAGGATTGTATTACACATTTATTACACATTGTATTACACGTATTACACATTTTTTCCTTGAATTTTCAAAAAACCTAATTAATATTTGCTATTTAAAGTTTTGATTTTTTATTTTTAAACGAAAAATAGAAATTACCGTATTTTTCCAAATAAAGCCACATTCTCAATTAGAGCCCCATTCTCTAATACAGCCCCAGTCTTGAGGATAGTTGAAAAATACAGCCCCATGGGGCTGTATTTGGAAAAATACGGTATTCTCACTTTTTGCCTTTTTTGCCGCAAGTCGTTTTTTGTAACTATTTACCTATTTTTGTACCTATTTTGGCATTTTATAGACCCTATTTAAATACCTTTTTAAGGCTTTTACAAGCTAAAAATCCGTTCACTACTTAAACAATTCTGTCTGAAGCCTTAGCTAAAAAATTTTATAAGAATGAAATAATTTTTGCTTAGTCGTTTAATTTGAACTTTAATTTATTATCTAATAAATTTGAAAAAAAATTAAAAATTTACAATTCTGGTTTGTTTTTTTGTATTTAACCTTCTGTTTAAAATTTTCCTCTAGTTTGGACTACTAAAATCATAAGTTAATTTAGATAAAATTAAACTGATTTTCAAGTATTTCTTATCCAAAATTTAAAAATAAATAAAGAAATTTATTGTTGCCTTTATTCATTAGTACATATTATTTTGCTTGACATAAAGAAAAGAATATCGAGTTGAATCCGAGTAGATATTGAGGTACTATTAAGCTTAACGATCGTTTATCTGTTTTTTACCGTATTTAAAAATCAAATCGACTTCTGATATTTAGTAGCTTTATATCACAGGCAAGTAACCGGATTCAACGGAATTTTAAAAGGATCTGGTCCTTTATTAAAATCATAAATAAGCCCAAAAACTTTTAATTTTATCATTTTCACCCTTTCTTCTTTAGTAACTTCCAGTATTTCCTTCAGTTTATCCTGGATCTGATAGACGTGGTCCTGATCCATTTGATAGTTCACTTCTCCTTGAACCTTCCCTAGAACGCCGCGAGTCAACAGACGGAATAGTCAAAAGCATTAAATTTACAGTTAAATAAATTAAAAAAACAATTAAAGATTTAATTGAGTTAAAAGCCATTTTTGGTTGTGAGAGTGGATTTTTAAAATTTTTCTGTTGAATTAAGGCAGGTTGGAGGGGTATTTAAATATGCCCTTTCATTTTAGTTTTTTTAATATTTATTCACCTAAAGAGGCTTAAATTAAATTTTTAAATGAGAAATAAAAAATTATTTTTAAGCCAAAATGATTTTTCTGAGCCAGGAATTTCTAAAAATGAGCCAAAAAATGAGTGAACATTACTTAAAATATAGAAATATCTGAGTTTGCTTATTCCTGGGCTCAATTTAGCTTATCGTCAAATAGAAATAAATTTTTTAAATAGAATTTATGTGTTTATTCACTTGAGGAATAGAATATTTTAAATTTTAAAAAATTATTTTATTTTTATAATTCAGAAATTGATTAAATAGCTCCCGTTTAGTAGTGATGCTCGGGAGAAGAAAAAACCCGGGAATCGGGAAACGGGAGTCGGGTCGGGAAATGACCTCGGGAGTCGGGATCGGGAGTCGGGAATTAGCACTAAAAATTTTTCCAAAAATTCCAAAAATTTTTAGCGCCTTCGGCGCCAAAAATTCCGATTTTTTGCATCACAGGCAAAAATATTGAAAATTTTGGAAGGTAAAGAAGCCAGACATCTTCCATACTAGCGCCGTGTCGCCGAAGCGACGTTTGCCATAATTGATTAAATATTTTTGATTTTTTTATTGGTGATCTTTTGCACCGTCTAATTATTTAATCGTTTGTACCAGTTGCCCATATCTCTTTTGTTAGCCACACCCTTTTGTGCTAACCCCATTTCTGATCATTTCTCCTATGCTTATTTAATCATTTTATTTATTCATTTAGTTTTAGCTATTTTAAGCTTTATTCTCTGTGTTTATTTCTCCTTCACTTTTACATTTTTTCCCCACCTGCATTTTATTTATTTCCAACTTAGGTTTTGGCCTTTAATCTACTTTACTTTCTTTTTAATTACTTTGGCCAAACTTAAGTTGTATTTTTTCACACTTTGATTTCACGGTTTAATTACCCAAGTTTAAGGTCCTTTTTGAATAAATATATTTAATTTATTTGTTCTTATTCTATTGTTTGGTATTCCTCCAATTGCCGTCCTTAGGCATTATTTCTAGCTCGCCAATAGAGCTTTGGTTCCATCCACTCGCCCTCGAGAGCGGATCATCTTTGAAGAATTGAGGGGACCTACCCGGGACAATCTAATTCAATCCCGACAACAATTTGCGGTTTCACACCTGTCGCGCCGCAACCCCGTTTTCGTTTCTTCAGCGACAAACTTTATGGTGCCACGACCCGGGACCCTTCTCTTCTCTTCATTATCTTCATCAAATTTTCTAATTAATTTAAATTAAATTTTTTCTTCTGTTTTTCAACCGACAGGCAACTTCCAGCCAACTCAACACTACTTCTTCTGTCGACACTTCAATTCGACTCATCAGTTCTACACTCACCAGATCGCCCAATTAGATCTTCAACTACAGAACTTCTCAACCATCACAACTCTACAGTCTACACTACTCATCTATCTACCGTCACAACTCAACAAATCTACATAATTTCATTCAACATGTCGTCGGGACCAATCCGCCGAATGATCGTCCCAGCCATCAGACAACTCAAAACCAACATCAACGAAGCTACCAACGTCATCACCGCCCAACAAGAGGTGTTAGAAGAACAGCAACTCCAACTACTACACAAACTTCGCAAGCAGTTGGCAAGTAATACCGTAAGGATAGAAAATTTAAACCGGGAGTGGGCAGAATTTATGAAAAAAATTGATCCGGATAACCTACCCGAGGAGGAAAGAATATATGAGAACTTCCAACGCCCGGGACCAAATGACCCCCTACTAGAAGATTACCGGCACTTTACTGAGTGGGTCGCGGACGCCCAGGCCCTCATCGACACAATCGATGAAATAGTCGAACGGGAAAGCACTTCCGGCAATCTCCAGTCAATGAACAGATCACGGAGCGCTTCCATTCAATCCCGACACTCGCATACTTCCCATCGGACCTACCAACAGGATTTACCGCGAAACCCAGCCTACGACTCATTTAAAATCGCTCCCATGGAAATTCCGAAATTTTCTGGGGAACCGGAAAAATGGACCAGTTTTTGGCAATGCTTTGAGTTGGCCATCCATCACAACCCTAACATACCAGACGCGCTCAAAATCCACCATTTGTGTAACTCACTCCAGGGATCAGCGGAATCAACCATCCAGGGATACCCGAGAATAGCCGAAAACTACCCAATTATAGTTGAATGCTTAAAGGGAAGATACGGTAGCACCCGCAATCTTAGAGAGGCTCTCCAATCAGAGCTACTTCTCTTACCACCAACAAAGGACACCGCTGACTCACTTCGCACTTTTTGCGACACTATAGAAAGAATTTGCCGGCAATTAGAATGCAATTTCAACACAAAAGAAGACGCGTCCCTACTAGTCACAACCATTAAGGCAAAGCTGCCGTCCACACTTATTGAGAAAATAATAGAAAGGGAACGAAGTTCACAAGCCAGGGAATGGACACATAAGGAACTTAGGAATTTCCTTTTAGAACAAGTAGCAATAAGGGAAGAAGTGGAAATGTGCACAAAGCGATTGAATGTCCCGTCCAGTCAAAGGGAAAATATTGAGCACTCACCGACTCGCCAATCAAAGAGTCACCGGCCAGATCGTTCTCCTCCAGTCAACGTTACCCGCACATTCACAGCCATTAAAAGGAATGTCGGCCAATGTTCACTTTGCAATGGAGATCACCTCCCTTCAGTTTGCCACAAATTCCCAACACCCGAAAGCCGCAAAACCCGCTTGCAGGCTCAACACAGGTGTTTAAATTGTCTTCGCGAAGGGCATAAAATCGGCCAATGCACATCGACCAAAAGATGTAGAAATTGCAGCGGCAAGCACCACTTTATTATCTGCACCCGCCAAAAAGGGGAGCAATACAAAAGAAAGAGTCACCCAACTAACGAGCAAAATAACTATTTTCGAGGGAATGAATACCTTTCACCGGTTAATAGTCTGACTCACCAACCAACTAAAATTTATACAAATTCGCGAATGAATTCTGAAAATCTACCCGGAACAAACCGGAGTGTTCCCGCCAACCCAGGAATGGCTATGACCGCCACCGAGTCAAAACCTCACACCTTTTTAATGACCTGCAAACTAAAATTAAGTTCTGGTAATAAACGTCCGATTTACACTACTATTGGTCTCTGGGACACCGGCTCCCAAACTTCCTACATTTCACAATCTTTGGTCGACCGTTTAAGACCACCGAGGGTTTTTACCTCCAATCACTCAGTACGCGTTTTTGGCGCCGATAAAGTCAAATTTTGCTCGACAGGACACAAGATTAGGCTCCATAAGCCCAACGGGAGATGGGAAGAAGCTGTATTCTGCTCAATTCCGCAAATCGTCCCGGCATTTCCGTGTATTCAATGGGATGGAACTCGGATCCCTACTAACCACCGAGACCTCAAAAACATTCCCGTCAAAAATAGGGAACCAGAAATTCTATTAGGAGTTAGAGAGTTCTGGAAATTCTTCCTTGGATCCAGGAAAATAGGAAGAAATCTACACATCATAAAAACTAAATTTGGCTCTATGCTCTGCGGTGAAATGCCCCACTATATTTCACCTACCTCGCTGACCTGCATTTCTCTTTCTGCCGTGCAAAGCTCACCGGAAGAAATGCCTGCGAGCAACCAAATAGAGCAATTTTGGAACCTAGAGTCTATGGGGAGTACCAACAATCCCGAAAATAAGGACGACGAAATCGCCTATAGATTAGTCGAACAGTCCATCAAACCGGAACCGGATGATAGATATACAGTGGAACTTCAACCGAAATCACCCGAAGGAACTTCCGGACCCCCGTCGGAATTACCCTCCAATTTTGATATGGCTGCCAAACGCCTATCTTCAGTACCTAACCGAATAGAAGGGGCGCCCATAATAGCCCAGGAATACCATGACGCAATAGAGGACCAACTTGAACGGGGGGTAATTGAAATTAAACAGTGCAACCCAGACGCACAGGACTACATCCTTCCACACCATGCAGTATTAAATAAAGGGAAATTCCGCCTATCATACGATGCAATCGCTCATCGAAAAGGACTTCCCTCAATCAACCAATCACTCTTTAGAGGACCAGTTTCACTCGCCAATTTAATGAACCAATTACTCATCTTCCGGGAAACCAATATCCCCGCTTTGGCCGACATCGAAAAGGCCTGTCATCAAATTTCACCAATCGAATCTGATCGAGAATTCTGTAAATTCTTATGGCTTAAAAACTTGGACCAACCTCTCTCGCCGTCCAACTTAGCTGTCTATCGATTCAAAGGAATTCCATTCGGGACTATTAGTGTTCCGTACATCCTAGCTGCCGCCAATAGGCATCATCTTTCAAAGGAGCGAACCGCCTTGGTTTTCTCAAGAAATCGTTTGCGCCGATTAAAAGCAAACTCAAAACTCACAATACCTCGGTTGAAACTATTAGGAATTTTAGCGGGAGTCAAATTCGTCCAAATGGAGTTACATCGGGAAATAGACAAAACTTTTGTCTGGAGTGACTCAACCATTGCCCTTAGCTGGCTTCAAGATGTGGACCACCAACCGGTCTTTATAGCAAACCGCACCAAGGAAATCAGAACCTTAACCAATCCCGACTCCACCGCTGAGTCTCAAATACCCAACACCCTAATTGATAATGGGAGATTTAATTCATGGGATAAAATAAGAACTACCATTTGGGTTCTTCTTTTTCTAAAATCTAAATTCATCAAACCTGGCCGCGAACCTTCTTTACTTATAAAGAATCGCCGCTCCGAGCTTCTCTCTATTTCTCAAGCATCTAGAAGAGAAAACACCGCATTCTCCGCAAACGACTTTCTAACCGATGGCCACCTTTTCATAAAAATTGCGCAACAGCAAAACATAAACGAGATTGAGCACTACCCACTAGAAACTGCCGCTCAAAATGGTTTACTTCCTCTCAAACCACTTATGCAACGAATCGAGCGCCCAACATTAGCTCGTCCTATTATTCTACTTCAGTCCAGGACTCAGACCGCCCATAAAGGAAAGAGACCAGGAACCCAATCCGCCCCAAGGATTGAAGAAGTTTTAATTGTAGAAGAAAATTATAATCCAAAGAATCTATGGCCCATGGGACGTATTGTCAAACTAGGGGGGAAACCTGGAGCAACCAGGAGTGTAAAAATAAAAATGCAAAATGGCAACATTGTCACGCGTCCAGTCAATAGCGTGTACCATCTAGAAATAAAACCAACCGAACAAGAGTTTATTGTCCCACCTCAAGTCGACACCGCTGCCGAAGGAACTCAAGAAACTTCCGTGCGGGAACCAAAGACTAACACCAGACATCGAATGATAACGAGGAACAAATCGAGAGCACTCGTGTCTACCCTACTATACGTCGCATTATTAATCGTCTGTTTTGCGTCCATCAATGGATTGCCCCAAATTAATACGACATGCCCAAAATGTCAAATTTCCTGCACTAGAACCGGAGTTACAGTAATCAGCCCCAGCGAATTCGCCAATTTAGAATTGTGCTGCGCCGGCAACTGTTTAATAAAGCGGAATGCTCCCGTCAATTCTGGAACTTTATCAGGATTGGGACTGCTATTCCTCCTACTCTTATCTATTGGATTATCACGCATGTTAAAATCATGTTCGCCGCGATCCAATCCATTTTTTCAATCTTCTCCGCTTTATTTAAAACTCCTATCCGATCTATGTGACTCTCTTTGCAACCAAAATCAAGGGGAAGAATACCTACTGCCTGAGTCCAGTAAAAGGAGAACCCACAGAGAACTCAATAGGCATTGGAGAATCAATATGCTATACCGCAACAATGGGCATTCAGATGAATGGCATGCTCGCTGCTATTGGCCGGCGCCCCAGTGTCGCCGAAGCGACGTTTGCCATAATTGATTAAATATTTTTGATTTTTTTATTGGTGATCTTTTGCACCGTCTAATTATTTAATCGTTTGTACCAGTTGCCCATATCTCTTTTGTTAGCCACACCCTTTTGTGCTAACCCCATTTCTGATCATTTCTCCTATGCTTATTTAATCATTTTATTTATTCATTTAGTTTTAGCTATTTTAAGCTTTATTCTCTGTGTTTATTTCTCCTTCACTTTTACATTTTTTCCCCACCTGCATTTTATTTATTTCCAACTTAGGTTTTGGCCTTTAATCTACTTTACTTTCTTTTTAATTACTTTGGCCAAACTTAAGTTGTATTTTTTCACACTTTGATTTCACGGTTTAATTACCCAAGTTTAAGGTCCTTTTTGAATAAATATATTTAATTTATTTGTTCTTATTCTATTGTTTGGTATTCCTCCAATTGCCGTCCTTAGGCATTATTTCTAGCTCGCCAATAGAGCTTTGGTTCCATCCACTCGCCCTCGAGAGCGGATCATCTTTGAAGAATTGAGGGGACCTACCCGGGACAATCTAATTCAATCCCGACAACAATTTGCGGTTTCACACCTGTCGCGCCGCAACCCCGTTTTCGTTTCTTCAGCGACACGCCGCAGGCGAAAATTTATAGAATTTTTAGGTCAAGAAGTCAGATTTCTTCCATTTTTTGCGCAGCAGCCAAAAATTTTGACTCTCATTGGAGTGAAATAGGGGAAAAGAGAGTGAAACAGAGAAAAATATTTTTACGTTTAATTTTGGTGGAATTTTGGTGAACTAGCCACATATCTCTTCATATCACTCTATAGTATTAACACCCCCTGTGCAACATTAATTATCAATTGATATCTCTCTTTATTACTGCAAATCCCTCGTTATCTCTTCAAATTCACCATAATCCTAGTAAATCACCGAAATCTGCTATACTACAACTCCACAGATTCTTCAATTTTCAGCGCCGCAGGCGAAATTTTTGAGGATTTTGGAAGATCCTTAAGCCAAAAATCTTCGCTTTTCAGCGCCGCAGGCGAAAATTTTGGGAATTTTAGAAGACCAAGAGGCCAGATTTCTTCAATTTTTCTAAATGAAAATATAATTTTGTCAAAAAATCCATTCTTAGGGGTGTAAAAATTTCCCGACTTAGTCGGGAATTGACACCGGGAGTCGGGATCGGGATCGGGAGGCCAAAAACTCGGGAAATTTTCCCGAGTCGGGAGTCGGGATCGGGATACCCGAGCATCACTACCGCTTAGACTCCCGCTTAGAGGGAGTTTCGAACAGGTTCGATCTGATTGAAAATTGTTGCAGGGTTTACCTACCGATACAAATTGAGATCATACGTATGCGTAACGTCAAAAATTTTTCGGCGAAACGAAACGATTTTAGAATAGCCAATTAAGAAAAATAGACGAAATAAAGACAAACTAAAACATAAAGTACCGTTTAACTTTGCAATCATTAATTTTTTTCATTAAATTTAAATTTTTAATAATATTCACATTTAAATAAAATACATATTTAAAAAAACTCCAATAATTTATTTAATTAATAACATTCAAATTTTCTTGCGTTAGATTGTTGCTAGGTGATATTGAATTTGAATTCCACAAAATTAGGCTGTTTTGTTTAATAAATTTCAAAATAATTTGTCTATAATTTCTGACACTTAAAAGAGTTACCTTAATTAAAATATATTTTTAAGAATTAATATTGAATTTTGTTCAGTTTATGCGTGCCTTAAATTTGTATAAAGTCCACAAATTTAGTTTTACTTTTTTTGTTTTATACCCATTCTGTCTAGAAGCATTTGTTGACAAGTAAACATTAAAAGCCATAAGTGCCGGATAGAAAACGTTAAGGAACCCCAACCCCAAAATTTGAAAACCGAACACTTTATGTGACACACAAACTGAACAAGAACCTCGTATACCAAAGGATTTAAAACAACAATTAAAGCATTAAATGGAGTTGTTATAAAACCAGATTTTGTTGAAAGTAAATTATTTATTATCGGTATATTAACTATTGTTTGAGTGGAAAATGGTAAAAGAGCCAAAAGTGCCTTAAATATTTTTTATTGGATAATTATAGCCGAGCTCGTTTTAAAAAGCCTATATGGGGCTAAAAATATTTTTTGTGATTAGACAGTCCATTTAATTAAATTGCGGTTTAACTTTATTAAAAATATGGGTTTTTTGTTTTTTTAAATATTATATTAGTTCCTTCTTAAAATCATTTCTGTATTTTATTTTATAAAATTTTAAAATAAAAAAATCTAAAATTTTTTACTTGTGACCATAAAACAATAGAAATCTGTTTATTAACTTTGCGCATAACTTCCAAATTTGGCCCAATATATTGGCTCCGCACAAAATATTGAATTCGAATTCCACAAATTATAATAATCGAGTATGTTATAATTGTAAGAAATGTAGCATATTTTGAGTTGATGGACGATAAGTTGACATTCTTTTTGGGAAAATTGGTAAAAAATGTATTTTTATATTGCAGAACCTCACTATGATATTCCCCTAGGGTAGAATTTTTGACTTATCGTTAAGTAAGATTTCTGTCTCGTCAAGCCCATCTTGATATTCAAAAAAATTCCGACTCCCAAATTTCTCAAAAATTTGGAAGTATAGTACTTCGACGATCGAAAATTTTCGAAAATGCGAATTTTTTATCATTTTTGCTTTGCCGATAAAATTTTTAAACGGAAAATAGAAATTATTCGGCACTTTATTTTTAAATTTTCACACCTAAAAATCCTGATCACTACTCATTATAAAATAAATTTTTTCATCACCAATGACATCAATCTTATAATTAGGTTAAGCTGTATAAAAATTTAAAAAAATGTAGAATATACCACAGTTCTCATTCCAACAACAAAATTTTTCATTGTATAATTGTCAATTTCCAAAATTTGTGCCAATTCATAATTTGTTAAATGTTCATTTTCGGGTGTTGGGTTATTTGACAAAAATGATAAAGTAAAAAGCAGAATAATTGGAAGAAGAACAGAAATAATTATAGCCAAATAATGTTTCCGGCGAATATTTACGGAACTTTAAATTATCAGATTTAGGATTTGATATTCCTAGTCTTGTTCACTATTTAGATCTGAATGAAGGGAAACTTATTTTCACATAACATTAAAATTGTGATTTTAATTTTGATTAAAAAATTAATTTTTCTTTGGTCTTCCGCCGAATTCCTTCTTTTTTGGATTAATTCCGCCCCCTTCTTCCGCTTTTTAAAATTCAAAATTATTTTTCCCTGTTCTTACAATAATGCCCGACTTTATAATAAATATTGATAATATAACTAATTACCGAACAACAGCCAAATAACGAAAAATAAATTGTGAACAAACATTTACTGATGTAAATCTTATCATAAAAGCATACAAAATAAACGAAAGAAATTGCCAAGGATTAGGCAAATAATGAGTAATTCCATATTCCCATACTGTACCAATTCCATTGTCAGAAACAAAAACCTTTTTTGGGATCATTTCAGAATATTGACACCCTCTATATCGCCCTTTATATCGCTCCCTCTATATAGGTATATTGAAAGTGAGAAACCTTGTTCCAAAGCCGGAAAATGTTGTTCTAACAATAGGGAAAGTTATTCCAAACTTGGAACAACATTCACGTTGTTGAAACAACATTTTCCGGCTTTGAACAACAATTTGCGTTGTTGGTACAAAATTTTCCATCATTGGAACAGGGTTTCCCAGTTTCGATTTATAGGGTTATAGATATAAAGCAAATTGATATATAGGGGGTATAGGTTCCTGGATCCAGATCATGAATTTTACTAACCTAAATTCAGATCCAGAATTTTTCAAAATACCGATCTCTACTAGCGTATCGATATACTGTACTCTTTTTTAATTAAATTTTTTTTGAAATTAAAAAAAATTAAGACCGGTTGAACAATAACAAACAAAACAATCCCAATAATATCAACAATACAAGTCTGTAAAAGTATTTTGCTATAAACTTCCATTTCTTTCATTGTATAACGGATAATTAGGTAAATTAAGAGAAAATTGAAAAATAAACAGGTTAATCCAACACAACTAATTATTATAGAATAAAGTTCTGGTAACATTTTTAGTTAAATATTCCCTTGAAATTAAAAGAATATTTAGAGAATACCTATGTGAGATCCATACAATTAATTTAATTGGCATAAAAATGACTTCCTCATTGGGGGTGAAAAATAGGGAGTATACGTGAGACAATTTAAATTAATTCTGAGTTTCAACAATTAGTCAAATTTGTACTTCTGTTGATAAATACAAATAAAGTAGGATCTCGATATAAAAAAACTCAAAGGTCTATAGAACAATATTGGACAGAGTTCAGATTTCCTTCGACGGTTACATTGCTCGTGGGTTTCGTTATGGTCAAGTTGTCTTTCAGCAGGAAAATCCACCCCCGCATAGCGCAAACGCAACTCGAGCCCACATCACGGAGACACTCGGATGGGAATTTTTAGTTCATCCTCCTTATTTTCCGGATATTGCGCCGTCTGACTTCCAAAATTGTGCTCAACTCTCAAATTGGGTTGTCAACTTTCTTGATACCAAATGTGCCACTAAATTTTATCAAATGGAAATTTAAAAACTGCCCAACAAATGGCACTAAGTGATAAATAATAATGGACATTTATTTGTTTCTTGATTTCATTTCATTATTTAGTTAAAGTAAATTATTTTATTTATGCGTAAAGGCTCATTATTTATCTAACAACCTATTAATATCGAGTGCTTTAGAGAGATTAATAATATCTTAACTACACGTTAGTTAAATTGAAGTATACAAATCGACCTTCGACTGCATAATTAAGGTTTAAAAACATGTAGTTATTTAAATGAAAGTTTGGCCAATGCATCTATGCGGATTTTCACTTTCATAACTTAACTTTGAATATAAAAGTTTAATGGCAAACATTTTTTAGTTACGACTTTTGTATTTCTGAAATGAAAGTTTTTAAACAATTTTCAGTTAAAATTCAATAGCAACGGATAATTGAAACGAGTACAAACTTACTCACGCGCTAAGCAAGTTTTCCCATTTTTTGTATTTAATGTTTGTTAATTTTTCCCACGTTTAAACTACTATACATTATTTTAATTTATACTCAAAGTTAGAATTGATTCAATGGCAAAATTTAAAAAAATAAGAAAATACCGTATTTATTTTAATATAACGACAGTCGTTTTATTTTTCAACCCTCTTTTAGGGTGTTGTTTTATTAGAGACTGTCGTTATAAATTAAATCTTTGATTGTCTTTTTAATTTATTTTTTTTTAATTTATTTTCAAATTCTGGTTTTTTCGCGACCTCCGGATTTTTTCCGGACCATTTTCAGTCATGAAATGTCGTGCCGAAAAAGAAATAGTGTTATAATTCCTCTCGTTTCCCTCTCACTTATTTTGACCCCATATATTATTCTCTCCTCCCCTTATATTGTAAACCCCACATTCCCCCATTTTAATGTTCGTTCGTTCGTTCGTTGTTGTTTATTTTATTTAAAGAGAAAAGTAAAAGAGTTTATTTGTGTGTTTGGTGAAATTAAGAAAAAAGGGTAAGGACATTAACCCATTAAGTCCTACATGGCGCCCCTGTTCTAGAGAGTAGTCCAAAGATTGATTTTATTTGGTTATTTTATTTGAATTTGTTTATTTTATTATTGATCTTCGCTGGCCCCCGGTGGACCAGGAATTTATTTTTTTGTAACAACAACAACAAATATTTATTTTTTTGAAAAGTTATTCCCCGGTGGAATAGTTTTCGTTTGACAACTTTTTTCTGAGATTTTTTCTGAAAAAAAATCTTATTCAGTTTTCCCTCGGTGGGTGGATTGAATTCTCTTCGGATCAAATTTTAGCCCCGGTGGATAAAATTTGAATTTGGTTTGGCTCAAAAAAGAATGGAATCTTCACCTCAACAAAACATGAATCAATATTTTCATCATCAACCTTTCACAGCCTACCCTCCTTTGATGAATTTTCCCACGAATAATCAGCAACTAGGGCAAATGTACATTCAAAATTATGGCGTCCCAAATTTCTTCTTTGGATGCCCTAATGAATTTTCTCAGCAAACGATGTATTCTCCCTATCCTTTAATGCCACCACAGCCAATTAATCAAATCGAACAAAACGTTAATTTCGTTAACGAAAATTTGTCGGAATCCAACATTGAAAAACTTCTTTTGAATACAATTCCTGATCTTGATGGAACTGAGAACAACTTTGAAATTAAAAAGTTTTTCAAGAAATTCGATGCATATCTAGACGATTGGCCAGAGAAAAAGAAAATTTTTACTCTAAAATCCAAGTTGTATGGAAAGGCCAAAAGTAACTTCATTCTTGCAATCAAGTCAAAACATTACAATTATAAATCGATTAAGAAGTTCATCCTTTGTCGACTCCTTCCATCTGAGTACAAAGTCGAAGAAACCATCGATCCAATTAAAAAGAAAACCAACTCAAAGTTTGAACACTTGAAAAAGAATTGTGAGGAGAATGAAAAACTTTTACCGTAACTAATAGTCAAAATGCTAGGCCCAAATCACTCAACAGAATTAGCATTCCTTTTGAGAAAGTCGCATACCCTGCTGAAATTTTGGAATTCTTTGAAGGGTCAACCAAAAAGGAACCAGAAGACAGAAAAGAGGTTAAACCTTTCGAGAAAGCTGAAAAATTGGAAAACTACGTCCCAACAAAGTTTAACAGCAAAAAGACAATCAAACCAGAAATTAAGAAAAAGAGTTTTGTGTCGGATCTTGAGGAGACTAATATTGAGTTCCCTATGAAGCTATTTGAAAATGAAAAAGAATTTAAATTGGTTGAAAAATTGAAAAATTCTGTTCCAACCACTATCAAGGTAACGAATTTGGTTGAGAAGTGTGAAAATGAAACTGATCTTGACCTCCCAATGAATTTGTTCGAAGCTAAGAAGGAAGACAAAGTTGAACATGTAAGTGTTGTTTCTAATAAGGATCTAGTAAAGGATTTTGAGGACGTTAATTTTGAACTTCTTATGAATTGGTTTGAAGAAAAGGAAGAGGTTAAATTTAAGGAGTCTGAAAAAGATCAGGTTGAGGCTGAAATTATTGAGGACATTAGTTTTGAAAATATGGTTCAAGTGTCTGAAGAAGATGAACCTGTTGAGAAAAATTTTGAGGAAGCAAGGAAAGAAAAAGCAAGCGACTTAGGTCGTATGAAAATTGACCTTGATCTTTGTAAGCAAGAAAATTCTTTGGAAATTGAGAGGAAAAATTCTGAGAATTTTGAGAAAGTTTTGGACCCTGTTATTGAGCAAAATGTTAAGGAGAAAAGAAAGGAGAAGGCATCTGAATTGAGTGGAATGAAAGTTGATTATGAGTTCATTGACCAAAATGTTTTGGAAATTAAAAGTGAAAATTTTGTGAACTTTGAAAAGGAATCAGTTATACTGAAAGAAATTATTGGAAAGGAAAGTTTGACTGAAGTTGAAAATTTAAGTATTTCTTCGGATCAAAAATTTAAAGTTTTGAATCTACCCAAGACTAGGAAAAGAAAAATGGTATTTTTGATGGAAGAAAAGAAAATTTTGAAGAAAAGTATTAAGAAAAAGGGAAATTTTAAAAAAAATTTGAAATCAAATGAGACGAAACAATTAGAGGAATATTCTTATTCTGACAAATATTCCGTTCTGAAAAAGATTAATTCAAAGATGAAGTTGCTCAAAGTTTCTGTTCTGAATAAAATCAACGCTAAAATGAAAAGAAAAGCAAAGAAACAAGAAAAATTCGGATGGAAGAAACGAAAAATCAAGGGACGATTTTTCCATGGAGTTCGGAGGCGCCTTGACTTGAAAAAACTGATCACGCTGATCAGAGCCTCGAACCAATTTCCGAATTTTGCAAAAGAGAAACGACGATTTATGACGAATTTAAGACCAAAGAAAGACTTGCATTCTGGACCGGAGACGAAGCAAGATAACCAAACGTTCCAAATGGCAGTGCTCTTCCCCAAAAGGACTATGTGGCCCACCAAAAGAGAAAATTTAAAACCGGTCTCGGCGACCTGGGGTTTTGAAGGAATTTCAGATACAATGTATCGACTGAAAAGGTTTACTTTTGGACTAACTCTCGCCACCCCAAGCCTATTCGGATCAGCCGTAACAGCTCGAATTTTGAGAAAATCTGACGTCGAGGACGCCGTCATCTGAAGCGTGCGGGATGTCGTGCCGAAAAAGAAATAGTGTTATAATTCCTCTCGTTTCCCTCTCACTTATTTTGACCCCATATATTATTCTCTCCTCCCCTTATATTGTAAACCCCACATTCCCCCCATTTTAATGTTCGTTCGTTCGTTCGTTGTTGTTTATTTTATTTAAAGAGAAAAGTAAAAGAGTTTATTTGTGTGTTTGGTGAAATTAAGAAAAAAGGGTAAGGACATTAACCCTTTAAGTCCTACAGAAATGCAACCTACTACTCTCCGTAGGATAATTGCCCTCCCTCAAATAATTGTCTCACTTCTACATATTAATTACTAGAGCCCGGCTCGATACGATATTTTTTCGATATTTTTCGATATTTTTCGATATTCGGTATTTTTCGATATTTATCGAAAAAATATCGACCGAAAAAATTTAAAAATCGAAACAATCGACCGACCAAATTACAAAAAATCGAAAAAAATATCGAACGTCATTTTCGACAAAAATTTGAATTTTTTGCTCCAAAAAGGATGCATTTTAGCTTCTTGCCCATTGGAAATTCAAAAAATTTTCGCCTGCGTCGCAAGAAAAGGAGAAAGGTGTCTTCTATATTCACGTATTTAGTTTGCCAAAGCGAGATGAGAGTGAGATAATATATGGTCCTCATAAAACCAGGTGCATTAAAGAAAAATCTGACTTAATGCTTTCCAAAATTCACAAAATTTTCGCCTTCGCCGCAAAAAAGGGAAGAAAACTTGCTCAATGACCTTCTAAAAATCTTTTTTTATCTGTAGCCAAAAATGGAAATATTATATAACTAATAGAGGATTAAGTGCATAAAATGGATCTCGAGGGATCAAGACGGACTTTGGGAGAGATGGATATCAAAACGGATATCAAATGCCAAGATTTTTTTCCTCTGATATAAGTCCATTGATTTCGTTATACCCCGATATCACTCTTAATCCACAAATCCCTTGATATCCCTCCTGCTCTCACACATCCACAATATCTCTCTTACTACCTCTAAATCTCTTGATACATACTCAGTCCTTCAATATCCACCTTAATTCCTTAAAATCCATTATCCCTAGTTAAAATCCACTTATATCCCACTTGATCCTTCGATATTAAATACAAGTCCATTGATTTTACAGTTAATAGATCCAAATCCACCAATATCCCATTTAATAGACCTTAATCTCATTAAACTATTATGTCTATTCTGTTATTCGTTGGTTATAGAAAAATTTTTGAAAAATCGAAAAACATACTACATAACTAGCCCGCTTCGCGGGCTAGTTATGTAGTATGATTCTATGCTCTTTATTTGGTACCTATGCTTTATCCGTAGTACGTTTGGCCTTGGCTGTATAAAGGTGACCCTGTGGGCGTTGGAACCTAAGCCTTGCCCGTTAGGGCCTTCGGCCCAAACTTCGTCCGCTCCGCGGCCGAATGGGCGCTGCGCGCCCATGGAGGGTTTAGTTACGTTGCTTTGCCTTCCGGGGCTGTCTCTAGGCGCTACGCGCGGATAAGAAGTTAGAATTTTGCAATTTTCAGTCCATCAATGTATCTCAGACTTCGTCCGCTCCGCGGCCGCATGGCCGCTTCGCGGCCATGACGGTTTAGTTACGTTGCTTTGCCTTCAGTAACTTCTCTGGCAGCTACACGGACCCAAAAAGCCGTCACATGCCCGCTCCGCGGTACCCCGAGCCCTACAATAAAATTTTACCAAAAATTTTTCTCAGACTCAAGTGACCCTCTTAAAAATATTTTATTTAAACTCTACACTCGATTCCACGTCTATTGATATATCATTCAACGCATTTAGACCAGACGTGGGCGAAACGTTTCGTTTCGTTTCGTTGTTTCGTATGTTTCGTATGATTTTTACTGTTTCGTCTCGTTTCGTTACGAAACACTTTTAAATTTGTTTCGTTTCGTTTCGTTACGAAACACCTGTGATTTTTCAACGAAACGAAACAATTTTTTAAGCCTAAACTAAGGCCAAAATCTATAAAATTTACCATCTTTTATTGAAAATTTAAAAAATTTTCGCCTGCGGCGCTGAAAAAAGAAGAATTTCGGCTTCTTGGCCTTCCCAAATTGTCAAAATTTTCGCCTGCGGCGCTGAAAAAGGAAGATATCAATTACTTATATACTACAAATCCGTTTATACTCTACTCCCTAATCCACATATACATATTACTTAATAGACGACAAATTCTATTACCGGACTCGCATCATAATTTAAAAATTGCGGATTGCGAGTTGCGGAAATACTGGAACCGGAACTTCCGGCGAAGCACTAGCTTATATCGCCTTCCTCTCGAAATGGAGATATGGAGACAATTTGGGTAGGCAATGGAGCAAGCTAGTGAATTTTTTGGCCTACGGCCTTTCAAAATTTTAAAATTTTTCGTCTGCGGCGCTTAAAATAAAATTTTACTTGAAAAATATTCAATCTTATTTGAAAAAAAGCGTCGCCAAAAATTCGGCTTCGAAAATGATTGACCCCCCCCCCCTTCCCCGAAAATTTTCCTTGCTACGGGCCTGGCTTATGGGACACAATTGTTGTAAATAAACCAATAACTAAATCATTTATAATAGAGCCCGGCTCGATACGATATTTTTTCGATATTTTTCGATATATATTTTTCGATATTATCGAAAAAATATCGACCGAGAAAATTTTGATTTTTTCGATATTTTTCGATATTCGGTATTTTTCGGTATTTATCAAAAAAATATCGACCGAGCCCTCCGTCCGGGCTCTAATTTATAAGGCATAGGCGACTAATAAAGTATTTGAGGTCGAATAATTGCGAAATAAATGCAGTTTTGAAAATTTTTTGAATATTAAAATGTTTCGTTTTGTTTCGTTTCGTTTCGTAAGATTTTGGTTGTTTCGTTTCGTTTCGTTAACGAAACGATTTTTAAAAAATTTTGTTTCGTTTCGTTTCGTCAGAAAAAAATTTTGAGTTTCGCCCAGGTCTGATTTAGACCCTTTTCAAAATTTTCAGTCCCAGACTGAAAATTTTCAAACTCGAGACTCAAGTGTACTTTTGCTTAAAAACACTTTTAAGCCCTCCGCAACATCATCCTATGGCACCCCCCACCCTTCAAAATCATTCCCAGAGTCCCAGACTCAATTTGAAACCCCCAGACTCAAGTGTCCCTTTCAAAAATATTATCATTGAATTCCCCACCAATCAATACCTATTCCCCTAGAATTTCATCCATTTTGGTCCAGCCAATAAAAAGTTAGTTTTTAGTACATTTGACCGCTACCCTATGGGGCGACATAATGCCACCATTTAAAAATGGTTAAGACCAGCATAACTCATCTCGAAGTCAGCCGATTTTTCTGATCTCAACGGTTTTGGATAGATCTCTCCGAGATCTTGGTGCATTCCAGCAAGCGCTAAGCGATCTGACTGACGGAAAGTCGAAATCGACATTTTTCGACTTGTTCGAATCCGATTTTAAGACTTTTCCGACCCGAAATTTTTAGTTTTCAGATTTTTCCTATATACTAGACCCGATCACAAATATAACCCCCAAGACCCCATATCGCTAGCACTTTTCGTTCCGGAGATCTTTGATTTCAAAAATTGAACCCCCCTCTGTTTTTTACCCAGACTCAAGTTGACCCACCCAGACTCAAGTGACCCAATTAAAAATAATTTTAATGAATTCGCGATGGCCGAAACCCTATAAGTCCAAAGATTTAGGCAAATCCGACCAATCAATATAAAGTTAGAAAAAAGGACGTTTCGTCACAGTGGAAAATTGCTTCGGGGCATAACTACCCCTAAAGTCGACTTTTTCGAAAAATTTAAAGTTTCATATGATAGGGCCACTTAATACTTAAACATCATCAAGCGGACCTTTTCCCTCCGGGTTCGACCTTTCGAGTTATAGAGAAATTGGCAAAACGTGGAATTTTTCAATTCGACTTTTAGACCCCCTAAACGAAATTTTTCTAAATTTTTATATGGTCCCGAAATGCCCCTTGCGATCACATTTATACTCCCGAAAACTGTTTCCCGCCAAGTGCATCCCTTAAAACGATATTCGTTCAAACAAAATTAACCCCCCCCCGGTTTTTTTTTTTGAAAAATCGAAAAATATCGAGACTTTTTTTCGATATTTTTCGGTTTCGATATTTTTCGATATTTATCGAAAAAATATCGACCGAGCCCTCCGTCCGGGCTCTATTAATTACCCCTTTCAACGAGAGGTCAAAACAATAAACCCAGAGTAGTTAATACAGTATATACGGTACTCTCCGTAGGAACACAAAGCATTTATTCCATTATAAATTAATGTGCTCATAATTTTGATCAGAAGCATCTGCTCACATTCTGAAGTTTCTACGTAGAGTAGATTGCATTTGCATTCTGAGGTCTTGACTAATTAATTTCTACATAATATTGTAATAATTTGTAAATATTTACATTTAGACTTGTTTATTAATTAAAATTCACACGCAATTATTTAATAAACTTTATTTATTCGCACGTCCCAACAAATTTAAAGGAAAATTAAAATTTGAGCAAGATTGGTTAAAATTTTTGTATTTAAACTGCTTGTTTAATTTTTTACATTATTTGAGTTAGGATTAAATAAATTTAAAATATTCAAGTCATCAAAATTTTTAAAATAATAAAATTAATTGTTGCATTTATTCGTTAATATGTATAATTGACATAGACATAGAAATAAAATCGAATCCGGATGCATTTAAGGGAATCGAAAAGGCCTAAATATCAATTATTAGTATACCAGTATTGGACTTTTATCAGCTTTACTATCTTAGGGAATACATTCAAAAATCAGTTCGGGTCCCGTCATTAGATGGCCCTATATTAGAATGACATCACTTCCCAGTAACCGGATTCAGTGGAATTTTATTTGGCTCTAGTCTAGTTTATGAGTCCAAATAACTTTTATTAGTTCAAACAAACTCATAAACTTTCAGTGGATTCATTGATGAGACTAGAAACTTTTAATTCAATCATTTTCTTTTTCTTTCTTCCGATAATTTTCACTCATTTTTTAGCGACCTCCAGTATTTCCATCAGTGTGTCCTGGACGGCCTCCATTTTTGCCTGAAGGTCCACTTCCAGGAATTTTTGCTTTAGTCGAATCAACAAAAGGAACACTCAAAAGCATTAAATTAACAATTAAATAAATTAAGAAGACAATCAAGGATTTAATTGAATTAATAGCCATTTTTGGTTGTGAGAGGGGATTTTTCTAGAATGTTTTTAAAATTAATTTTTTCTGTTAAAATAAAGGTAGAGTTAGACGGGTATTTAAATATGCCCATTCATTTTATTTTTTAATATTTATTCAACTGAAGAGGCTTAAATTAAATTTTAAAATGTGGCAAAGAAAAAATTAATTTTAAAGGAAAAAAATTTTTTAAAGTAGAATTTTGTTTATAAAATTTCTAAAAAAAGATTTGAGGGAAATTTTATTTCCATAAAATATAAAAATTTAGAGGTTGGATTACGTCTTTAAGCTAATTTTAGTTTTTGTATCAATTAAAAATTTTTAAATTTAAAATAATTGTTTATTCAATTGATAAGAAGGAAGTAAAATTTTAATTTACTTTCCATTTTGCCATCACTTTTTTTTCTCATTTACATTTTTAAATATTTGGGCCGATGGTCGAGTCATTTTTTCGGATCAAGCCCGACTCGATATTTCGGTCCGAGTCGGTCCATTTTGGCAACAATAATTTTTATACTCATTTTGTGACCCGTTTAATTCTCTTTCAGGGCTTTAAACTCCAGTTCCTATATTCAACCTTTTACAAAAGATTTGACGATTGCAAAATTTCAACATCTACGAATGTTCCAAAAACTTTTTCTGGTTGTAATGTGATCATTCTAAGATTTGGTAAGACTTTGACTTGTCGTTTCCCTCTTGTGAAATTATTTGATTTGCCCTTCACACACATAAAATTCTAGATTAAAAGATTTCATATGATTTATCTAACATAATATTCGAGCTTAGCGTATTAAAAACATATTTTAAGTAGAAAATTCAAAATAATACTGTAAGTTATGTAACGAGAAACGACTATTTCAGATTTTTGCGCCCAAACGAAAAATTTTGGCTTAAAATTCGTTTAGTTAACAAAGTACTGGTGTTTCGTAACGAAACAAAACGAAACAGAAAAATCACACGAAACACACGAACGACGAAACGAAACTCTTTGCGCATTTATGACTGGGATGACGTACAAATAAGGTCACTTTGTTTATTTAATAAAAACCCTAATCCAAAAATTACGTCAAAAATATTCAATTCCTATTTCCGTTTATTTATTAACAAATAATTATAAAGTAGTGCAATTGTTCTAATTAAGAAAATGAATGAAATGAAAGCTAATTAATTTATTTTCAATTTACTTTCACTTTTCTCTTGACATAAATAATAATTATTTTTTGACGGCTTTTTGTATTTTTTTATATAAAACCCTTAGGGTATTATCCAAAATATTAATAATTCCTTATTTATTTGTGATTTTCCAGTTAAATACCTTCCATTTTAAGTAGCTTATCTAAATATAAATATTTGTTTTTTTCATTAAAAAAATTGAATAACTATAAGATACATCATGAGGTTAACTTAGCATTGGTGGATTCTGGAACCAAGGATATATATAGGAAAGAAATATATTCAGTATCCCAGGAAACCTTTGGATATCTGAAAAAATTTTGGATATTTGAATTCTGATTCGCTTACCATAACTTATATAGAAAACCTATCCAATAATGAGATTTATCTTTAATGGGTATAAAGTCTCCGCCATGCGGTCTTAGATCAAATTCTAAAAACGTTTCATAATTTGATGTAAATAAAAATTTTTATTTTCCTCTTAAATTAAATTTCTAGACTTTTCAATTTACTAAAGTTGAGAAGAAAAAATGTTCATAACCTCGATTAATAAAAATTCCAAATTATTCTCTTTCAACTTATTATTCTCCTTTTCCCTGTTTTTGCTTCTTCGGAATGTCCTCTCAGAATCTCTAGAAGCAGACGACCAAGGAGGTGATCCTTACTTTGGTGTTCCGTTGGGAGCTCTTCATTACTCGGCCGAAGGGACTTCGGCAGAGATTTATGCTGCTGATGAATTTACAATTCTTTTTAATCATTTTCAACACAATCCGAGACAAATTGGGTGAGAATTGTAAATAAAATTTTAAATAAAAGCCTTGGAAAATGAGGGGATTTATTTAAATAAATTAGATTTAATTGAGGTCTACGCTGAGGGTGAGGAATAGAGGGTGAGGAATAGATGAATAGTGAGGAATAGAGTTTCAAGCAACTTCAATCATTAACCTTGAGGAATATTGAGGCTAAGTACTCACTCCTAGAAATAGTCTTTTTTGGACTTTTGAACAATTTAATAATTTTTCAGTTTTTTGGAATAAGGTTGGCGGATCCGGATATTCGGGTCCGAAAAAGGCCGGATATTCGGAAATCTGATATCGGATTCGGTTCTGATATCGGATTTGGATATCCGAAGATTTCCAACTATCCGCCAACCTTACTTGGAACAAATTATAATACATAGTGCAAATGTCTCTTTAAATCCATTTTTTTAATTTCTCAATATTAAAGTTGCACAGCAATGATAATCGGCCCTCCTAGACCTGAAGACCGCGAAAATGTTATTCCAGGCCATGGAATAATTTTGCCAATGATTAAATCGAATACTTTCAAAGCCAATAGAGAAAAAAGAGAAGCTGTTAGATTTCACCGTCCCCAACAATTTGGCGGGTTTTGGCCAATTGAATTTGCTCATTTATTGTTAGAACCTTCGAGGGAAGTACAGGAGAAGAGTGGAAATTTAAATAAATTATCTCAAGAAGAAAAGTTGAAGAAAAATTCAACTACGCTGATTTCTCTTTCAGAAAGGTAATTAATTAAACAATAAGCTTGTCATACAAATTATTCGATCTTATCTTGCTTAGATTTTCATTGCATTTGTAAACGGGAAATTAAAAAGGGGAATTCCCGATTTTATTGGCCTGAGCCCCTCCTAGTTTTACTACATTTACAATTCCGTTTCAGGTCCCATCTTTTCGAAATTTCTCAAATATGCTTTAAGGTAGGGGAGTGCATTTTAAATGTAGCACTTGCTTCATGTCCGTCTTGAATTTAGGTGTTAGATGAATCAGAGTGATAGACACTCATCACCTTGGATTCTAAGTAAAAGAAAACCTATTTCTAAGTCATGGTACATTTCGAAAGCCGAAATTTTTATCTCAAAACTGAGCTATTCGATAGTAGCTGAATTAATAGGGTTTTGATAATAAGTATAAAGAGGGATGGATTAATTTATGGCCATCTTTCTAAAATAATAAATTACTCCAGTACCTCAACATCATTTCCTTCAATTAACACATCTACCAGCTCAATCCCAGATTTACAACAAAGACAATTAATTAATGAAAACACATCTTCCTCTACAACACAACCCTTCACAATACTACCAACAACAACACAAATAAATTCCAAATTAAATACATCCACCCATCCATTATTAACTGGAACAACCCAGCCCCTCATTCTTTTGGGGTTTTAATTTTTCTAAAAATTTCTTTAAAAATTTTCAGAAGCAAACGGACTCCGGCACCTTTAATTAATCAAAGAAATTACTCTATAGCCTATTTAAATGCAAGGGATGATGCTATTGTTGAAGATAAAATTGAGAAAGCTGCTGATAGTAGCAGTATAAGACGATCACCAGCTAGAAATGGTTAATTAATTAAATTGAGAGACTAAAAAATGAGAGTTTAAATCAAAGGAACATAAAATAAATATATTAAACTCGAGATTTTTCGGGATATCAATCTCGAATTTCAACCAATCCCCAGATCCAATAACTACTAGCGCTTGGACGTTCGTAACAAAATTTTAATCGTACCCCGTACTTGCTACGAGGTACGAGTTCAGCAAAAGTTAAATTTCAATGAGTTACGAGGCCAATACTAGGTGTGGTAAATTACAAGTATCAGCAGACCTGCCCATGGATACGGATATGGATACAGATAATATCAAAATGCCTGCGGATACCGGCCTGTATCCGTCTGTATCCGCCGTAAATATGCGGATACGGATACCAAGATCAGTATCCGTGACCAGGTCTGAGTATTAGTATTTTCCTTTAAAACATAATTTGATAATAATATTATAATTTCTATTTAATTAGAATATGTTGGCAACAATGCAATAGATGCGAAGCCTCCGATAGAAATAAAAACAACCCCACTTTATCGAATAATTAAAGATCCACGTCCGGGACGTAGACAAAGACTTATTGAGGTTTTAAACGAAAATTAAATTTAATAAAAAAATTTTCAAGTTGAGGAAGAAATTAGACCCGACATATGAACCTCCATTATTTAGTACAACATCAACACCTTTTTCTGCCAACGAAATTCAATTTGTTTTACCTAAAATAAATGAGCAATTAGTTACATTTACATTAACTAATGGAGCTAAAATAACGCAGTATAAATGGATTGGTCTTTGGAATCAATGCACTAAAGTAATTTTTAAAATTATTATATGTATTATTGGGAAAATCTTTGAAAAAAATTTCTAAAATTTTTTACAGAATTTTTTGGCTCTTGTCCAGTTTATGCGTCCCATGAAAGTATATGCGTCCCATCAACATAAATTGAATATTTCTTAGTGTTGCAAAGTAGGGGTATGGTTCCAAAGCATTTCTTCATGTTCAGGACCTACGTCCACTGGGTCTGGGACCGTTCCTTACCCTATCCTTCGAAATTTCTGAAAGTTAAAATCGTTTTTCTGAAATTTTTAAAAATTGGCTATAACTTTCAGAAATTTCGAAGGATAGGGTAAGGAACGGTCCCAGACCCAGTGGACGTAGGTCCTGAACATGAAGAAATGCTTTGGAACCATACCCCTACTTTGCAACACCAAGAAATATCCAATTTTTTGTTGATGGGACGCATATACTTTCATGGGACGCATAAACTGGACAAGAGCCAGTTTTTTACCTAGAATAACTCAATTAAGATTACTTAGGTTAGTATAGAGGAAAAACATACAGACCAGGGGTCATCAGGGGCGGGCCACCATGGGGGGGGGGGGCATGGTGGCCAGGGGCGGACCACCATGCAGACTTTTGGCGGCAAATAGAAAAAGTCTCGTTAACAAGTATGTATGGGTATGGAAAATATCCGAATATGTATAACTCTAAAATTTAAAAGTTAATAAACTGACGGAGCAATTAGGCTAACCCAAATATTATTTATTCTTAAAAATATATAATTTATACAATTACAGAGACATATCCCTCTAGCTTCTCTTGTAGACGTTGATCCACCTCGAGAGGAGAAGGTACACATACTACCTTAAATAAAATTATTTAATTTAAACTCCCAAAACAGATAATGCCCTTAAGTGGATGGTCTCATAATGTGACTTCTTATAGATTACATATTTTAAATTGTAATACAATATTAATACCTTCATTTCACTATGATGGGCGAAATACTACAAAAAGTAAAAAATAAATTTATTTTGTTATATCTGACCTCTATTTTACGCATGAAAATTAATTTGGTTTAGTAGCTTTTTAAACGCTCGTCTTCACCGAGCGCGCAAAGAGCTACTTGTATACTGTACTTTCTTTCCCTTTCTGTACGAGTAGTATGAGTAAAAAAATAGGCATTACGAGAAAAAATAGGGATGTACGAGTACGAACAAGTACGGTTACGATATTTACTATCTTCTCCTCAGCAGAGGTGTTTCGAAATTTCGATTTTCGTTTTTCGATTTTCGAGGTTTTTTTCCTTTCGATTTTCGATTTCCGATTTTCGAAATTTTGTGATATTTTCGATTAACGATTTCCGAATTTTTGAAAAAATTTGAATTTTTGGCGCCAAAAATGAGGAATTCTGGCTTATCGGCCATCATAAATTTAAAAAATTTTCGCCTGCGGCGCAGATAAAGGAAGAATATTATGCTTCGGCTCCTGTTATTGGGTATCTGGAGAGAAATATTCAAATTCTTTGTTTAGATACTTATTTCTTCATTGGAATTGGCCAATTTCCAGAAGCTGTGGAACACCAACTTAAGGCTAATGTCGTCGGCCAGAGATCGTAAATGATTTTATAATTTTATAAAAATTTTAAAAAATTTAAGGGGAGAGCCTCTTCGAAGTTATTCTGGGGAAGATGTTGTTTTACGTTTACCGAGGCCGTATAGAACATTTGATATAGATTTTATTTCAATATTTAATACAGACGAACAAAAATCGTTTGGTCATGTTTTGATTCCCTCATTGCTTGTACCTCCATGTTAGAAATAAATTTAAAATTTTAAGTCCAAAATGTATACCGCACAGTCCAAATGTATACCGTTCTCTAATTGAACGACTAATACACCTATATTCAGTGAAGCTCCTGACTATATTAATCTTTCAAAGTATGCATGGGTCATGGGTACATTGTACCTACCACCCTTATTCTTGACGTATTTACTAAAATTTGTATTTTTCTCGTACACGTACTTCGTACCCCCACATCACTGCTTACTTACGTACCAAGTACGATTACGAATATGAATATTAGACATTTATCGGTTCCACGGTTCCGGAACTGGAACCCCCACATCACTGCTTATTTACATACTTAATGTTCTATTTAATCCAATTTTTTGTTTTATATTACACTTTTTTAATTAAAAATTCTAAATATAAATCTAATAGTTAAGTTTTATGCTCTCGCTCCACTCATTTCAAGTCAATCACTGATTAAAGGAAAATAATTAAAAAAGGATAAACAAAAAGTCCAAAAAAGGGTTAGAATATCAGCAGCAACAAAATAAACAATTAAAAAAAGTTGAGGAGAGTTTAATAGCTGTACATTAATATTTTCTTTTTAAATTTTTCTTTCTCCAAAAAATTTTGCTAAAATTTTTTTAATATTTATTACTTCCCGTTTACACTTTTTTATTTAATTTTCTTCATTTTCTTTCAATTGCTATACTGTTGGAATGAAATGTAGAGACTGGTCTTGGCCTTGATTGTGTGCCATATATTCTGCCAATGAGAGGCCGATGGACGCTAAGAATTAGGGAAAATTTTATTTTTTTATATTCTAGTTGGATTTTTAAGATCCCAGCTTCTCGAGAAAAAAAATGGAACGAACAATGTCCCTGTTCTTAGAAATTAAGCGGCGTCGGTGATACCTATCCTAGGCTGTCTGCTTTTTGATTGTTGCAGAGTTATGATTATAAATCGGACCGAGACGAGATACCGAACAAAAATTTTTGATAACGAGGTCGATACTTACGACGATCTTCTGAATTAAATCATTGTTGATGCTACCAACAACAAATTGTTATCTCTCAATTAGACTAACACCGTCCCTGACTATAGGGAATTTGAATGAAACCCCAATTATGTCTACACAAATTTATTAATTAACTTACGACTACGTTTCGAATTTAAATTCCAAATTGCTCGGTAATATTGGGGTTGTGACATTTCCGGTCCATAGAGGGGCTAAATATTAAAATATAAATATTTTTTTGAAATTTCTTTTAAATTACCGTTGATGATACCAACAACAAACTGACGGCAAAAATAAATAAAGAAAAAAGGAAAGTAAAACTATATAGACGTGGCATTATTTAATGAATTTACCCAAATAATATTTTTGACAACACAACCTCTAAATTTATTTAAATTTTAAATTAAAATATTTCGAATAAAATTGACAAGTAAAATGATATATTAATGCCCCTTCACATTACAAGCAGTTTCAGTATGAAAATAACAGTGCTGGGTATGGGTTCGGGAGCTTAACTAGAGCCCGAACCCATCCCCAGCTTGGCTATATTCGGGAGCTTGGCTATGTGTTCGGGAGCTCTGGAGTTGCCTTGGAGTTGGCTCAGGATAGAGCTTGAACTAAGATTTTGGAATTCCTGAAGATGAGTCACAAGACGTTCAATACCCGGCACTGAAAAATAATGCAAAAAGTTATCGGGTTCATTTAGATATATCTGATAAAATTTAGAATTTTTGTGCTAGTTGCTTACTCTAGCGCTTTCTTATTTTTGGCACAAATTAATTTAAAGAATAACTAATTAAATAAAACATATTTAATTGATTTGACAAAAATATTTAGTCAAAAATTCCCAAAAAAGGAACCAAAAAAGACGTGAAAATCCTTCATTCTTAGAAAAAAGCAAAGAACATAAATCATATAAAAGTATAAAATTTTCTAAGAAAAAGAAAACTTTTTTAACATGGAAAAGTGCCAAAAAGTAAATGAAACATTTTTATGTATTTTTTACATTAATGTGTTAGTTGTCCATCACTTTTTGACAGCCGAGAAATGACTGATGAAAAGCGGAAATGTCTATTATGTATGGGCCCTTCCGAGAGAGTTTTTTGCCCTCATTTAAATATAAAAACGTGAACAAAACACACAAACACAGGCTAAACATTTTTGAAGGCATTTTATCCATTCTTTACTCCCAAAGGGCTGCTAATTGCGAAAAAACGTTATTTTATAAATTAAGTGCAAAATACATTGAAAGAGGTACACAATGCTATTGGCCGGAAGAGACTTACAAATAAAGAGATGTTAGCGCGCGGCTTTATTAAATGTTAAATGAGAACCTATTTATGTAAAATTTTGCATGGAGGTCTTTGATGGTGTTAACTAACGTCATTTAAAATTTCAAAATTTTTGGATAAGAAATTTTAAAGTTATAGTCGGAAATTTACTAAACCCTCTCTTTATTCAAAAAATCTGAATTTTCAACATGAAGTCGTGAAATAATTTCAGAAAAAGTTCTAAAATTATTAATCGCCTTATTGAGAATGTCTAAGGAAGGTTTCACGTCTCTAAAAAATTATTTGATGATTTTACAGGGCCTAAACTATAGTTTCTACAAATTGCAAGGGTGTTCCTTCCCTACACATTATAAAAAGACTAATCAGAATTTTCAATCAGAACTTTTAAAAACTAAACAAAAAAAGTTTTGAAAATATCACCAAATTATGAGTATTCGAATAAAGTTTTACGTTTACTTTATGGGACTACAGCCAAATGTTCCCTTCGCATTACAGACATGTTCCCTTCACCCTACTAACATTGTCATTTGAAAAATTTAGACAGGAGAGGATAAAATAATGAAAATGACTGAAGGATTAATTTATATTTTATTTATATATTACCCCTTGTTAGTCCTCATTTTTAATTTAATGATGGAATTCCAAGTCTATAGGGAAAGATGAATGAGTGGATAACACGGAATTAACAAACGAAAAAACTTCTCTCTTTTTTTGTCTACTAATTTTTAATAGTTTCCGAGTTTATTTTTACTTTAATGAGCAAATAATTTCCGGGTCTAGCTAGTTATTTATTAAAAAATAACTAAGGCAATCACGTAGGTTATTTTATAATGAATGAGTAGAGCAAAAAACAAAAAAGAATGATTATTTTTTATTTTTTGGGGTAAAATTTTAATTTGTGACGTGTTTTATAAAGGCACTAGACTTGGGCCAACTAATATGTATTGTAGATGAGGGAAAGGTTTGGAAGTACATAAGCAATTAAGGAAGTTTGGTGGCCTCCCCCTGTTTTTATTATCAACTTCCATAATTTAAGCCTTCTTTACAAATTTCAACCTACCATTCGGCCATCTTCCTCAACCCCCTCATTCTATATCCCTCTCATTCTTTTTATCTTATTCTAATTATAAGTGCTCCGGATGTTCCTGCAAAAATTTCATTGGATATAAGGACAACCTTTCGGTTCCAATGGAATTTTCCTACATCTCCCTCATTCTCTCAATGATTTTAAATATTTTAAAAATAAGAATAAAACATAAAAAATACAAAAAAAATAAAGCTTAAACTAAACTTATCAAGTATATTTATAGAAAAATTTATTCAACTTTTAAACAAAAATAAATTTTAAAAAAATAAGGAAGTAGTGTTAAAAGTTTAAAAATATACCCCCCTTTCTACGCAAAACAACGCCTTCATATTTACTCAAAAAAATATACAAAAAATAATTTTTTGTTTTCACAAAAAAAGATTTTTACTAAAAAGCAGATTTTATTTTTTAAAAGAAAAAAATAAAATTTAAAAATAAAAAGGGAATATATAGAGGAGGATGTTGTACTTATCCCCCCCCCCCTTTTTATTTAACGGCAAATTTAATAGAAGGATTTTTCTACATCATTTTTTTTTCCTTATAAACAACAAAATAATATTTATTTATTTATTAAACAATAAAAGGGCCTTTTATTAATAAAAATCTGATTATTTTATTTAATTGTCTAGGGAAACATCTGTGCCCGGATATTGTGTACTTTTTTTGTTTTTTAATTATTTTATTATTATTTTTTAGGTCTTCAAAAAGAAAATGATTACGGTTGCTCGAATTAATTGAATAAAATTTGGATGGAAAATTCATCTGGATTTTAAAAAATAAAAATAATAAAAGGACCGAAAAATCCTCGGTTCTTCGGTTCGGGTCTGTTAGGTCAAAACCGACAACCTTATCATGATCAGATTCAGGCCCAATGAGATTTATCGATAAAGTGGGACTACCTCCGGCTATTTTTTTAGCAATTTTAAAAGACAGCTAACTAGATTTAGTAATACGGTAGTGCGGTTGATAGATAAAGCAAATAAAAAAATAATCAAATCTCGATAGCTCAACTCCACGTTATCATCTCTTAGCTTATCGCGTCATCACAATTCAAATTAAGCCCTCGATCTATTAAAATGTCAGCTCAATTCGGTCCCGAATTTGACGTTTTATCGAGCTTCGACTGTATAAAACATTAAATATAAATTCAGATTCTAATGAAAAAAATTTAATAAAATATGTACGTGCTTTGAAAAAATCCGCGAAAATTCATCTTGGTTACAATAAATATAATAATGGCATCTTATTAGCAGCTGTCAAATACAGATAAAAAACACAAAAAAAAGTGTCCTTTACTCCAAACAATGAAAAGAATTTAATCTCCGTCCTTTCCTCCCAAGGTCTTCTTCCCCCCAAAAAAACACAATTTTCTATTAATTTGTCCTTGCTAATTTTTTTTAAATTTTTTTGTAAATAGTCTGGCATTTATTTAATAATAAAATGTGTGTGTATTTAATAATTGCCACAAATTCTTGAGGGAATTTTTAAAAAATAGAAAAAAAAACAATAAATAATAATATTTATATATAATTAAATTTCTAAAATTTAATTTAAATTTATTTTCTAATTATTGTTGTCATCTTTTGTTGGCCTCCACCCCCAAGACCTTCTTCAGAACCCTCAGAATGGTATTGCTCATCCTCTGTAGATTGAGAGCCACAACTGCGGGTGGCTGTTGCTGTGGCCCATGACGGCTTTCCAGGCTCGCATTGCTGCTAATTTTTTTAATTTTTAATAAATAGCAAAAAAATAGTGCAAAGGAATTTTGAGAGTGGAAATGAGGATGAGTTCGAGAATACTGTCAGGTTAAGTTAATAGGTTCTGTAATAAGTCGTCATGAGTTCCGAAGAATTTTGTGAAATTCTTCAGGCGATTTGAGAAATAGAGATAAAAATTCTCAAGTAGAGAATTTTTTCACAAGTTCAAACTCAGAATCTATATCATACACCTGAGATCTTACTGTCTCTAACAATATGTAAAAGAAATATTCGATGGGTTTATCCTAAATAATAACCGTATAGTCTAACACCGGATAAAACGAAGACTAACAAATTGCTTTAAAATAGGCAATCCTACTAAAAGTTCAAAAAAACTTACAGCCAGTAATTTCCTCTTTAAAGCCCCAATTAAATCCATTTGTGTATTAAATTGTGCTTCCAATTCTCGATTTAAAATTCTTAATTGGTTGCATTGTTGTTTATTAGTTTCTTTTTCTTCTAAAAGTTTTTTAAGTTCTTCAGCTTTTTTTTAATCACATATATTTTTTATCCACATTTATTTTTTCAAATATTATTTTTTTAAAAGTTTTTATAATTTTACCAACGCATTTATTTGTATTGTTTTTTTATCCATTGTAAGTGTACATGCTTGTATGTACCTTTTGGTGTTCGTATAAATAAATAAATAAATAAAAAATAACTAAGGCAATCACGTAGGTTATTTTATAATGAATGAGTAGAGCAAAAAACAAAAAAGAATGATTATTTTTTATTTTTTGGGGTAAAATTTTAATTTGTGACGTGTTTTATAAAGGCACTAGACTTGGGCCAACTAATATGTATTGTAGATGAGGGAAAGGTTTGGAAGTACATAAGCAATTAAGGAAGTTTGGTGGCCTCCCCCTGTTTTTATTATCAACTTCCATAATTTAAGCCTTCTTTACAAATTTCAACCTACCATTCGGCCATCTTCCTCAACCCCCTCATTCTATATCCCTCTCATTCTTTTTATCTTATTCTAATTATAAGTGCTCCGGATGTTCCTGCAAAAATTTCATTGGATATAAGGACAACCTTTCGGTTCCAATGGAATTTTCCTACATCTCCCTCATTCTCTCAATGATTTTAAATATTTTAAAAATAAGAATAAAACATAAAAAATACAAAAAAAATAAAGCTTAAACTAAACTTATCAAGTATATTTATAGAAAAATTTATTCAACTTTTAAACAAAAATAAATTTTAAAAAAATAAGGAAGTAGTGTTAAAAGTTTAAAAATATACCCCCCTTTCTACGCAAAACAACGCCTTCATATTTACTCAAAAAAATATACAAAAAATAATTTTTTGTTTTCACAAAAAAAGATTTTTACTAAAAAGCAGATTTTATTTTTTAAAAGAAAAAAATAAAATTTAAAAATAAAAAGGGAATATATAGAGGAGGATGTTGTACTTATCCCCCCCCCCCCCCCCTTTTTATTTAACGGCAAATTTAATAGAAGGATTTTTCTACATCATTTTTTTTTTCCTTATAAACAACAAAATAATATTTATTTATTTATTAAACAATAAAAGGGCCTTTTATTAATAAAAATCTGATTATTTTATTTAATTGTCTAGGGAAACATCTGTGCCCGGATATTGTGTACTTTTTTTGTTTTTTAATTATTTTATTATTATTTTTTAGGTCTTCAAAAAGAAAATGATTACGGTTGCTCGAATTAATTGAATAAAATTTGGATGGAAAATTCATCTGGATTTTAAAAAATAAAAATAATAAAAGGACCGAAAAATCCTCGGTTCTTCGGTTCGGGTCTGTTAGGTCAAAACCGACAACCTTATCATGATCAGATTCAGGCCCAATGAGATTTATCGATAAAGTGGGACTACCTCCGGCTATTTTTTTTAGCAATTTTAAAAGACAGCTAACTAGATTTAGTAATACGGTAGTGCGGTTGATAGATAAAGCAAATAAAAAAATAATCAAATCTCGATAGCTCAACTCCACGTTATCATCTCTTAGCTTATCGCGTCATCACAATTCAAATTAAGCCCTCGATCTATTAAAATGTCAGCTCAATTCGGTCCCGAATTTGACGTTTTATCGAGCTTCGACTGTATAAAACATTAAATATAAATTCAGATTCTAATGAAAAAAATTTAATAAAATATGTACGTGCTTTGAAAAAATCCGCGAAAATTCATCTTGGTTACAATAAATATAATAATGGCATCTTATTAGCAGCTGTCAAATACAGATAAAAAACACAAAAAAAAGTGTCCTTTACTCCAAACAATGAAAAGAATTTAATCTCCGTCCTTTCCTCCCAAGGTCTTCTTCCCCCCAAAAAAACACAATTTTCTATTAATTTGTCCTTGCTAATTTTTTTTAAATTTTTTTGTAAATAGTCTGGCATTTATTTAATAATAAAATGTGTGTGTATTTAATAATTGCCACAAATTCTTGAGGGAATTTTTAAAAAATAGAAAAAAAAACAATAAATAATAATATTTATATATAATTAAATTTCTAAAATTTAATTTAAATTTATTTTCTAATTATTGTTGTCATCTTTTGTTGGCCTCCACCCCCAAGACCTTCTTCAGAACCCTCAGAATGGTATTGCTCATCCTCTGTAGATTGAGAGCCACAACTGCGGGTGGCTGTTGCTGTGGCCCATGACGGCTTTCCAGGCTCGCATTGCTGCTAATTTTTTTAATTTTTAATAAATAGCAAAAAAATAGTGCAAAGGAATTTTGAGAGTGGAAATGAGGATGAGTTCGAGAATACTGTCAGGTTAAGTTAATAGGTTCTGTAATAAGTCGTCATGAGTTCCGAAGAATTTTGTGAAATTCTTCAGGCGATTTGAGAAATAGAGATAAAAATTCTCAAGTAGAGAATTTTTTCACAAGTTCAAACTCAGAATCTATATCATACACCTGAGATCTTACTGTCTCTAACAATATGTAAAAGAAATATTCGATGGGTTTATCCTAAATAATAACCGTATAGTCTAACACCGGATAAAACGAAGACTAACAAATTGCTTTAAAATAGGCAATCCTACTAAAAGTTCAAAAAAACTTACAGCCAGTAATTTCCTCTTTAAAGCCCCAATTAAATCCATTTGTGTATTAAATTGTGCTTCCAATTCTCGATTTAAAATTCTTAATTGGTTGCATTGTTGTTTATTAGTTTCTTTTTCTTCTAAAAGTTTTTTAAGTTCTTCAGCTTTGGATTTTTCAATAGACAAAATTCGTTGATTTGCTTCATTTAATGATCTTAAAGATTTAAATTAGTTTAAGGTTTAGTTTACATTTCACTTAATCCAAAATTTTCCAAAAAAGTTACTGAAACAAGCAGAAAGTTTCAGTATAGGTTCGATTAACCGAAGAATTTTGTGACATTCTTAACTATGTATTATATAATACCGTCAATAGGAAAAAGGAATACTCTAATAAAGAGATATACTTTACTATTAGATACTATATTTTTAGTTTGATTAGAATGATTAGCCGCGTTATAAGAGAGCTGCTCGATACCCTATATTTAAGTTATCCCTGAACATAAATAAACTTTTCCCCAAAAATATCTAATAATGGGGGGTCTGACTGCAATAAATAATTTTCATTAAAAATTAAATCCTCACTTTTGTTTTTCTTCCATGACTTTAACCAAATCGGCTTTAACCCTTTCCAATTCCTCCACAAGCCTTTTAACTTCTTTAGTCATTTCAGCATTTTGAGCTTTTAAAGAAACATCCTCTTTTTGTGAAGTAATTAATTGACAACGACAAATATCTAATTCTCTTTAAGAAAAAAAGTTTTTCAAAGTTTTTAAAATAAAAAAAAACTTACGCTCCAAGTTGGGCAACTTTATCATTTAAATCGCCTATTATATGGACTTTTTCATTCAAAGTTTTGCTCAATTCTCCAACTTGACGGTTATAGGCAGCAGATTCTTCTACTCTCTTAAAAAATTTTTATTTTTTAAAAAACTTATTTTCTATTTACAAAATTATTTTTAAAGAAATATATTTATAAATTCAAGTTTTTAATATCATGGTTAGGTAAAACATGCCATTATGCCTAGATGAGAGAATTTTGGCTTGCCCTATTTTTTTTAATATTATGGTTTCCAAACTGATATTAGATCCTGGATAATTCCCATCAGTAGAGGTTTATAGTCTCAACTCAAAACGTTTTCACGTCTTGAGCCTAAAAGGTTTTCTTTCTAAAACATCTCTACAGTTCTCGATTTTGTATTTCAATTTATGCAACTTCTACTTTAAACTCGAATTCTCTTCATATTTAATTATTTTTGAGATATTTCTCGTCATGTTCCTTAAATTTGGAGTGTCAAGAACAAACAATCTTTTCAAAATTTTTTACTTAAAATTTCTTTTGCTTTACCTCCTTCCTTAACAATTCCAATTCAGCCTTCAATTCACGCTTTCTCTGCTGCCTTTCATTCTGCACTTCATCTTTCTGTTTTTTCATTTCTAAATCTTTATGTTCCAATTCTCGTTGTAATCTCCCATTTTCACAATTTGACATATTTAATTCAGTTTCAGCAAAATTTAATTGCTTAATAAATTTTTAAACTTTATTTTTGGAAGGTTATTTAAATTTTTTTAAATTTTTAAATATTATTCAGGCTGTTTTTAATTATTTAATCGAATTTAGCGAATAATTACTAAATATGATATTTGTTTTATATTAGTCGCCCGCCCGTTTTTAAAAAAAATAAAATTAAAAAAAAATTTGCCCTAGCAATTTTTTAAAATTTGCCTTAGCTTTCCGTAAAACAGAGGTTTCCCGTTCAATGGGTGTAGCCAACTAAAAATCCCCTAAGAATCCCTTGAAGTCAGATTATAGACAAGAATTAAAGTTTTTATTCAATCAACACTCGCTATCTCCGTTATAAAGAAAGTCGCTAATAATGAAAGTTTTACTAATTAAGCATTCCAATTTAAACACCTGTTGAAGAGATTCAATTGCTGCTAATCCTTGTTTTATTGCACACCTTTCTGGACGTCCTAGAAGCGAAAATTCAAAAGCTCGTTTCATTCCCCAACGTAAAACTTCGATTTTACGAGGATCTAAGGCACGTTTTCTATTTAATCCGACAGAATTCTTCCATTCATTATTATCTTCTTCCTCTAATTCCTTTTCATTTTCTTCTTTTATTGGTACAGAAATATCGGTCATTGTTTGCCTTTCTGAGCAGCTTGTCTTTAAATTATTCTAAATTTTATTTTGAATATTTAAATTTTATCCAGAGCCAATCCTTGGTAGTGGCATTATAACGGAGGTCAACCAAATAACCTGGGCTAATAGATCCCTTAAATCCGATAAATTCTGAAAGGAAATCGCCCAGGGACCTATTAATTATGCGGACGTAATAAAGAAAGGTGATGTCGAGATCTGGTAGACATCGAGGTTCGATTGATCACCCCAATCCAAAGGTCGCAAGAACCAAAATCAGTATGATTCAAAGCATCCCTGATATATCCAATCCCAAAATGTCTGAATCCCCTTAACCCTCCATAATCCTCTCAAGGTTAGTTTTTCAGACCATTAATTGATCTAACGATCTACAATATTGTCCTTTTTTAATGCAAAATTGTACTTTTCTATTGCCCATATTAGTAACCTCCCCATTTTCTAATTGTTGTCTTCCTTCTGTTAATTCAACTAATTGAAATTCTAATAATTCATTCTGTGATTGAACATTAGCTAATTGTTGCTGTAAAAGTCTCTCTCTTTTTCTGAAAGAATCTAATTCTTCCCTAAAATGGTTGGTAGATTCTTCCAAGTGATTAGCATTGTCTATCTACAAAATAAAAGTGGTCAGTTAAAAGTAGGGTTCGCCCAATGTCAATATGGATAGCGCAGATCCTCCCTAGAGCCTCGCCCCCCCCCCCCCCCCCCCCCACCCTCCTTAGAGCCCTCCCCCTTAACATGAATTCACTGATTACTCGACCCTCGTCTTCATCCTGCGGGGATCAGAGGAACAATTACACCATGTATCAGAGTCCACTACTTTTCCAACTTAATATTTAAAAAATTGCCTTAGCATTATCAATTTCCCTTTGCAATTCAACCAACTGATCGTTTGCTGTAGCCAATTGCTGTCTCAATATAACATTTTCCCCTACAGCCCCTCTACCATTTAATAACAATTCTGTACTTAAATCAACATCTTCGTCTAAATCCTCAGCTATAGTATCTAATCCAAGCGATCCACTATCCTCTACTGAACCTTCTGAGCCAGCAGCACAACTTTGCCGGTCACTTTCTTGTTGGCCAGAAGCTCGCATTCGCAGTCTTTTAAGTTTGATTATCAACATTTCTTGCCTTCTGTCTTTTTCTGCTGCAGATTGGCGAAGTGCTGTTATACATTTGGACATTTCGAGAACCTTAAAGAGAAATCATGAAATCTTAAGCTGGTCTATGCGTGGCGCGACACATGGGGATATGACTTTTGAGGACCAGACACTTGAGGACCGACTTTTGAGGACGCGACCTTTGAGGACGCGACTTTTGAGGATGCGACTTTTGAGGACGCGACCTTTGAGGATGCGACCTTTGGGGATGCGACTTTTGAGGATCAGACATTTGAGGATACTCTAATGTCAAAAAAAATTAAAAAAATAAATAATTTTAATTTTATGTTTAAAAAATTTAAATTTTATAATTTTATGGCTTGCTCAAGACCTAACGAGCAAATAGTGATCATTATTAAATACATATAATCATTTCAGTTTACCAAAGTAGTTGAAATTTTGAAAATTTTGATAAATTGAATAGGGTTGTCGGTTCCTAGAAAACTTTGGATATCAGAAACCGAACTGATGAAACGAACCGATAATTTTCGGATATCCGGGAACGAACTAAAAATTTTTTCGAGGGTTAAGGATTATTAAGGATTAGCGGTGGTTTATATGAAATTTGTTGGATATAAGAGGTTTGATTATCGTGTAATAAAAGGGGGTCTGAATTGACCAAGGGGGATTTAAGTGCTATCAAGGGAAATTAACATATTGATCTTTCGATATCACGCCCAAATAAGGCTACCAGCGGATTCGAATGGATATCGGAAGAATACCTCGATGTCTGGAAGGATATAGGATTAAGAAAGTTTTGGAAGAATAAGAGGGATATGAGGTGTACCATTTATAATTATAATTTTTTTATAATTCCATTTATAATTTTGGAATAACAACCAACAGATTTCTTCCTTTTGAGAATTTCGAGAATTTCTGAAGGCCATGTGAGAAATTTCCAAATTTTTCCTTAATTTGTACATAATGGTCAGACTTTTTTCCTCGTTTATTTCCAATGAATTTCTGTGGCATATTTAAATGAATGATAGAGAAATAATTAAAAGCAAAAAATATTACTTTTTCGTGTTTTGTTTTTGTGTTGTCGGACACACAAACTGAAATGACAGTTTTGGAAAACTGAAATGATTATATGTATTTAATAATGATCACTATTTGCTCGTTAGGTCTTAAGCAAGCCATAAAATTATAAAATTTAAATTTTTTAAACATAAAATTAAAATTATTTATTTTTTAATTTTTTTTACATTAGAGTATCCTCAAATGTCTGATCCTCAAAAGTCGCATCCCCAAAGGTCGCATCCTCAAAGGTCGCGTCCTCAAAAGTCGCATCCTCAAAAGTCGCGTCCTCAAAGGTCGCGTCCTCAAAAGTCGGTCCTCAAGTGTCTGGTCCTCAAAAGTCATATCCTCAAGTGTCGGGTAGCCGGTCTATGTCCTAGAAGGAACAATCTTATCCAGGCCGATCCTTGTATTAAAGTTTTCCTTCCATGATTGATAAAATAGATGGTAGGTTTTTAAATCTCTTCATAAGACTTGGAGGAAAAAATAAATCCTATGTATATATTTACAAAGGATGCTCCTAGTTAAGCAAAAAGTTTCAGGCGCCTAAAATTTTCCGAGTCGGTTAACTCCGAAGTAACCATAGTCCCGGCCCCTCATATTTTTAATACTAAGAGAGATCATCTTTAATCATCCTTCCTCATAATTAGTCAAATGATACTAATAATTCCTAAGTTGTCTAGAGGGTCGATTATACATGATTTTGTTTAGTTTAATAAAACTTTCAAATTTTTAAATAATAAATAAAAATTTCACTTGATTTCTGTAGCGACCCAATTCTTCTAATTTTTCAGGAAATGCCCTCTACAAATGTTTAAATTCATCAAAAATTTATTTATTTTTAAACAACCTGCTCACGTAGAGCTTCATTTTCTTTTAATACCCTGTCATATTGATCCCTAAGGCTTAGCCTTAAATAATCTTATTTTAAAAATTTTCTTTTTATTGTCAAAATACCATTCATCCTGAACAAAAGCCATCTTTTGTTCCAATTTTTTAGTTTCTGTTGTGGCTGCTTTTAGACGGTCATTCAAGCGCTTATTTTGTTCTATTAGAGGTTTCTAAAAATGTTTAATTTTTGGTCGTTAAATTTAAATTTTATTTGGTGATTTATAAAGGATTTTGTAGTATACTAAGAGGTCAGATTACAATATCTGGCCATACTTAAGTTAAGCATTATTTTGTACTATATCAAACAATGTGCAACTAGTCTGAGTGATTATCCACTGATGAGAGACTATTTGCGCAACTATTCCCAGGTCTATTATAACGAGATTTTGATTCTAGAACGGCATTATCTCTGTATTTTTATTTTGTTGACTCCTTATATCCTTAATGGATTATCGTCTTAATTATCATTAAGGCGAGAGTACCCCCAATCATAAGGCCCACATGAGGCCATTAATCCTCACCCCAAAAAATATCTGAAATACCGTAGTCCCTATTTCAGAAATAAAATTAAAATTGGTATAGTACATAACATCGGTCAATTTATTAAAAAATTTTCAAAAAAAATTCTTGCCTGGCTCTTTTCAAAGTCAATAATTTTTCTATTAAGTTCAGCCTTTGTCTGAAACAATTCAGCATTATTAGCCGCAGCTTCACAAAGTTTCTGTTCAGCTTCTTCAAGTTTCTTCTCCCACCGCTGTCTTTCTCTATCATATTCTTCTTTAAGAATATGAGTATTTTTGCCAAAACATTTGGGTGATGCTAGAGGTTTTTCTCTAGGCAATGTTTGGGTTGTTCCACTAAATATTGTTGTCATTGACCCATTCATTGGGGAAGAGTTGTTTGTCGGGGTTTGTGATCTCGAAAGTGAGTGGACACGTGAATGGGTGTTGGAGGTTGGAAGAGGAGTAGCTGGAGAGGGAAGAGGAGGAAGATTATAATGGCAACCCCCTCCTCCTCCATTTGAGGAGTTTGAAGAAGTTGAAGTTGTAGAAGACGTTATTGCTGTTGAAGAAGTTATTGTTGTGTTACTATTAACGCTGCTAAACATTATTGCTTCGTCGGCTACAGCCGTGTATAGACTTAAATCCAAAGTTAATCTTCTTCTTTTCTCGTTAGAATTTTGTGACTTTCTTTGATACCTTCTCAAAGTTGTTGGAATTTTGCTAAGGTGTTGTTGATTATTATTTGGGGAAGATGTGGAATTTTGTAATAAATTTTGTTGATTTAACTGGGGTAAAGGGGGCATTATTAATTAATTTTTTTTGAGAAAATATAATTTTCCTTTTCCAGAAAATCCTCACGCGATTTATTTATTTATTTTAAAGAAATGATGGTTTTATGGCGGAAGAATGCGGGATCAGAACTTTTAAGAGCAAAAAGAGGCGGGGCGTAAAAAGGCGGAATATTTATGCGAAATTTGTGTGCGTAGCCAAAAAAGATGAAAAAAATGAAGAAAAAAGAAGAAACAAGCGAAGGAAGGGAAGAGAAAAAGTCTTTTTAGGTAAGAGAAAGAGGGGAGCGGCTGGTTTATATTCAGTCAACTGGCTTTTCATATTTAGAGTTTGGTTAGTGACAGGGCCGAAAAAATTGTGAAGAGAAAGGAAGAGAATATTGGCGACATAATCATCATCATCCTGACAACAATGATGAGCAATAATATTATAGCTTTGGGAAAATGTGTTTGTGGAGGGATTGTGGGTGGTTTAGTGAAGGGTTATATAAATATTTATTTATTTATTAGTTATGGATTGAGTGATCATATTCGGGAAAAAGAACCGCTTTTTGTTTTGACATAATGATTCTTGGAAATAAAGAAAAATGAAGAAGGATATATGGAGGATGAAAAGGAGAGAA